GCTTTATTAGCTTTACACGGTGAAGGTTCTGTTGAAGAAAAGGGTAAGAAGGTTTCTGCTGGTGGTTTCAAGGATGTCGTCTTGGAAACTGTTTAAGCAGAAAGTTTTCCATAATTTACGATCAACCCAAGCCCCACACAAATGTACGCTTGTACAAGAACACACATACGCACGCACACACGAAAGAGTAAGATTTTACTGAGTTAGGATAAGTAGTATAATCAATATTATATTCATGAATTGTCCAGCCTTCGTTTGATGTAGAAATTTGTAGTCTGGTGAAACAGTGGGACTCGGTCCAAGATGTAGGCTCCTCTTTGAAGAGAGAGAGAGAGAGAGAGAGAGAGAGAGAGAGAGAGAGAGAGAGAGAGAGAGAAAGACTCTGATACCTGAGCTGATTCTGACGGAATTCGAGCAGTCCTCCTCTGTTGTCAATTATTAATAGAATCGTTTCCAGTCTCTTCACTCATTCAGCATTCTACGATTACACTGTATGTAAGGCCGGTGATGGTGAGAGCCATCAAGCCGGTACGTACGTTCTCATCTAGCAGCTGAAGAGGAAGCGACTAACTTAGTCGCTAAGTGCCTCTTTGGGACATAAAACCTTAAAAAGTAACAATTTTGTATGTAAAATGCATTTTTTAAGTACCAAATATGTAAAGTGTAGCATACTGCAGCCATTTTAGCACTGTACCTAGTTAAGAAGAGGGAGAAGAACCTGACGTCAAAGAAGATGAAAAAGCAAGTAATTCTCGTACACCACCACCCCATTTCCTAGTAGATCTCCCTCCATATTCTCAGAATTAAAGTTTAACACATTTACACTCTATTTACACTATAATTACACTTTAGTAGCACAGCTTTAGTGTTTAGCCTTTTATCTACACCGATTAGACTTTACTTCGTAGATTATATGCAGAACAGACTCGGAAGTTTATTTTTTTCTTCTTTAAATCTACTCCTTCTATTTTCGTATGCCCGATTTCCACATAACGATTGTGTTCCTGTATATAACTATATAGAAGGAATCTTGCTAGTGTCGCCATCTATAGTTACAGTCACTTAAATGACTAAAGCAAAGTAGACATATTTACAAAAGTTTTCCAACTTCATAGCTCCTTGTCAGAAATCATTTAGCTACAGACAGAAAAACTGTCTCTGGGGTGTTTCTTTCAGAACTAAATACCCCATTATTCCCCGTGTGTTCATAGCAATCGGACAAGCCAACTTCATCTTTTTTTTTTTTTTTTTTTCTGCTGCCCCTTAAAATCTTAACCTACTGAAATTTCAGGTGACACAAAAACCGTTGCTTGCGGTTTATCATCGAAGGAAATTTCAGAGAACAAAAAAACACTCCACGGCTGTTCTGATCAAAGACTACTAAAGCTCAAACAATTGTACCAATTTATTGTATTTAATTTCTTTGTATTTTAACTTGGTACACTCTTTAATTGTTTCAGCGAACCAAGACCGAAAATGGGAACAGTAAGTATTTTTTTTTGGTGTTTTTCTTGACTGTGTGCTGGGTGACCGATTACTGTTGAGCTCAAGCCAACGCACGAAGTCAAGTCGAGCAAAAAGAAGTTTGTGTACACAATTGCACTGTTTCTGTATCAGCACAGTTCCTGGGAAACGGATAGAAGAGCAAGTGAATTCTAGATGAGTTTTCGTTACCGGGATAATCGAAGTTAACCAGGTCAACCCCCACTTCTCAATCATGGAGAGTTCGCAAGGGTGGAGAGGAGTCTACGCCGTGCCGTGCCACCTTTAAACAGAAAGGAGACCTTTTCTTGTAACTAAGAAATGTCAATTGACTCACGAATACCAATCTGGTACTACTGCAATCCTTCCTTTATCACGTTTGCTTCTTGACTCTACTCCTACAGTGGCATTGTTGCTGATCTTTTTCTTTCGGTGTCTGTATTGCCCTTATACTAACACTTTTAGTCCAATGAATCTCATCCTAACGGGCGTCGTGATGAATCGTCCGACATGCCAAATGGAGGGGTTGATAACAGAAATGAGGTGCAGAAGCAAAATAAGGAAGCCAATGCCAAAGCTCAGTCAAAGTCTGCCCCAGATGGATCTACTCAAGGATTTAAGAAAACTGCAGAAGATTTCAAAACACACAACGAAAAAAAGGAAGCAAATACTAAGGTATCCATCAGGGGTGCAAGCACATTCTCGTGGAGAAATGTAGGTTCTTGGAACGCTGGTGGTAACTCAGATAAGAAAAAATCCCTTGAAATTGTTCACAGAGTAGAAACTTATATTATTGACCACTTGTACGGTGATTGGTACTGGAATACTGCAATTATGCTTGGAACCTGTTACTTTTGTTGGTTGATAGGTAGAATTGGTGGAGGTATCCTATCTTTGGGATTTGTGTTACTCTTCACACAATCTGTCTACAGACAAGAAATTAGGAGGTTTAATCGAAACATTAGAGATGATTTGACGAGATCTGAGGGTATTAATAGATTGGACAACGAATTGGAAACAATGGAATGGTTGAACTCATTCTTAGACAAGTTTTGGGTTATCTATATGCCTGCATTATCCGAAACTGTTTTATATCAGACCAATGAAATCTTGAAGGACTTGGCCCCTGGGTACGGGATTGAAAAATTGAAATTGAACGAATTTACCTTGGGTTCTAAGGCCCCAAGAGTTGATAGCATTAAGTCGTACACAAGAAAGGGACATGACCACATTGAAATGGACTGGGCCTTCCTGTTTGCACCTAATGACACTGACGACATGACTAAGAATGAGATTAAAAAGAAGATCAATCCAAAGGTTGCACTTGGTGTTACAATTGGTAAAGCATTCATTCTGAAGGAATTCCCAATTTTGGTTGAAGATCAAACGTTTAAAGGACGTATGAACATTAAATTAAAGTTGAATCAGAATTTCCCACATGTAAAAACTGTCGAAGTTCAATTTTTGGAACCACCAACCATTGATTATTCCTTGAAACCTGTCGGTGGTGACACCTTGGGAATAGATGTTATGAGTTTTATTCCAGGGTTATCGAACATTGTTATGACATTAATCCATGGTACCTTGAGACCAATGTTTTACGCACCAAACTCATTCGTCGTTGATGTAGAAGAATTAATGGCTAGCTTCAACAATGACTCCATTGGATGTGCTGTGGTTACCGTGAAGAGAGCTGAAAACTTGAAACTCGCAACTAGTGGAAAGAAAACTAAAGCAAACAGTTTTAATCCTTATGTGCAATTGAAAGTCGAAAATAATCCAGATATTGAGGAAAGAACCAAAACCAAGAAGAGTATTAACGATCCTATCTTCATGGAAACTAAGTTCATTTTAATAAATGCATTGGAAGGAAATCATTTAAATTTCAACGTTTTCGATTTAATCCCTGACAAGCCTGATGACCAATTGATTGGAACTGTTCAATTTCCATTGGCTGATCTTTTACAAGAAGATGAACATATGGGAGTAGTTAAGAACATTATGGAGTCTGGTAAAGTGGTCGGTAAATTGGAGTTCAATTTGAAGTGGTTCCCTACATTAGCACCAAAGGTTCTAGAGGATGGTACCAAGGAAGCAATTACAGATTCTGAAGTTGGTATTTTAAAATTAAATTTGCATGAAGCTAGAGATTTAGATCTTAGTGATACTGCAGTTGGATTATTGAACCCATACGCCGAAATTTACATTAACAATGAATTACTTAAGTCATGTCGTCAATTGATTGCGACTAACGAACCCTCTTGGGAACAGACATTAGAGGCATTGATCACCGAGCAATCTCATACAACAGTTCAAGTATTAGTAAAGGACTCTGCTAATGATACCATTGTAGGTGCCTTAAATTCTAACTTACAGGATTTAATTTTCGAGACATCTAGAGGCCAGCAATGGATGAAAATGCCTAGTACCGATAAAGTATCTGGTCATGGAATTCAATCTAACTTCAGAATTACAGCACAATGGAAAGCCTTGGGTATGCACGATGACAAGATTGGAACTTTTAGAGATGCATCAATCGGTGGATTGCGTGTTCATTTGAGGAGCGCATCCGATGTTATTAATTTAGAATCTGTTGGCAAGGTTGATCCATATATTAGATGTATTATGAATGGTAACTTAAGAGCTAGAACAGCAACTCTTGCCAATACATTAGATCCACATTTCAACGCAGTTTATTTCTTCCCAGTCGCCAATGAGCATCAGCATATCTTGCTTCAATTAATGGATGCAGAAGATGATGGAAAGGATAGGCCTTTAGGTTCATGTGCTATCAATGTATATGACTTCTTGAAAAAGTCTTCAGATGGTCATTACTTGGCATATGACGGAAGTAATGAAGTTCTTGAGCAGCCAATTTTATACAACGGTGACAAGCATGGCTATTTATCGTACAGTGTTAGTTTTATTCCTACTTTACCTGTCTATTCTATGGACCAAAGAAAAAATAAGGATAAATATTTGAAATCAATTGAAGAGAAGAAAGCCGATGAAGCTAAAAAGTTAGCTGAAGATGAAAAGACATATAAAGAACATCCAAATGAATATGAATGGGTGGCTATCGGTGATGAAGACATCATAGATGATGCACCTAAATTAGATGTTCCATTAGAAAAGGCTATAAAGTATAGAAGTGGTAACATTGTATGCCACTTATTAGGTGGTACATTTGATAAGCCAGATGTTTACGTCCACACACTTTTCGACGATCATGCCTACCCTGCTGGTGTTTCTGATAAGTCGTCAGGTAGAAACTTAAAGAATCCAAGTTTAGCAGAATGCTTTATTAGAGATTTACCAAATTCTAAAGTTATTTTCAGGTTAGGAAATAAGGTAGAGATAAATCTGGAAAAGGAGGTATTAGTTGAGAAGACATTTGATACTATAAACCTTTTAGAGAGAAGTTATGCCAAACCAATTACCTTGAACTTGAATACAAAAAATACAGTCAAGGTACAATTTGAGTACATTCCATCTCCAGTTAAATTGGCACCATTGGATACTATTTTAGATGTTGGTTATATTAAAATCGACTTATTGGGAGCTGATAATTTACCATCAGTTGATTCTAATGGAAAATCTGACCCATTATGTGTTGTGAAATTAGATGGTGTTGAAGTATTTAAGACTAATAAGAAGAGAAGAACCCTCGATCCAGTTTGGAATGAAGCAGTAGAAATTCCAGTCCAATCAAGGTCAAGGCAAGTTATCATGTTGGAAGTTTATGATTGGGATTTAACCCACGATGATGAATTATTGGGTAGAGCTGTATTGGACTTGTCCACTATCGACCCCAACGAATCTACTCCATTCAAGGCTGATTTGGATAAGCAAGGAAGAGTTAACTTAAGAGTTACTTTCAAGCCAGACTATATTAGACCTAAATTGAGTACTACTACAGGATTGCAGATTGATTTGAATAAGGTTGGTGATGTACCATTACAGGCCGTTGGAGGGGCAGCAAATATTGCTGGTAATGTTGCTGGAGGAGGGATTGGACTTGCATCTGACACAATTACCAAGGGAGGATCCTTTATCAAAGGGCTTGGAAGGGGTTCTAAGAAGAGTAAGGATAAGAAGTCTGATAAGTCTGACAAGTCTGAAAAATCTGCGGATACCACTGCTAATGGAGGTGATGCTGATACCTCATTCTCTGACGTTAATTCTTCCCAAACCGAACAAAATGAAAGTAACAGTGACGATAGTCCAAAGAAGTCAGCCAACCAGTATGCTAATGAGTTACAATCGTTAAGATCAGGACAAACACAACCATCTGTACATGGAGCTGCTCCAAATATCTTACCAGAACTCTTGCCACCTCCACAAAGGCCAAATGTTGGTGGCGTTGGACACACTCGTAACTCTTCTAGTTTCACTGATAATAGCAGTTTTATTGGTAATGAGGGAACTTCTTCCATTCCAGGTAGAGTTAACATTATTGGTGGTAAGGGACTTCCAAGTGGAAACATTGAGGTCAAAGTGTCGTTACAAAATAGTGAGAAGGAAAAGGACATTTTCAAGACGAGAGCAGGTAAGAATGACAAGAATGGAGTCATTAATTGGAACGAATCTATTCCATTCAAATCCACTTCTGATGCTACTTTGGTATTCCACGTAAGAGAAAAGCATTCATTTGGTAAGAATAAGGAGCTTGGTGCTGCCACATTACCGTTATCTGAAGTGTTGAACCATAGCGAAGATAAGCATCTTGCCGTTGGCAGCGGAAGCATCACAGTGAATGTGAGGTACATTTCAGGTTAAATGAATGAGCCGGAAATGACACTGGCTTTAGAGATGAAAAGAAGAAAGGATCTTATGAAGGAACAAAGAAACGTAAAAGAAAAAAAAAAAGACCAGTTAACAAAAGATATGGAGTTCTTTCTAAATAGACTCTGAAATTTGTATTATTTGTATTTGTTTAAGTTTTATATTGAATTTAAGATATTTGATATTAGATATTTGCTTCTTGATTATAGTGTGTCCTGTTCCTACATGTAGTGCACTGAGAAAAGATACCGAGAGAGAGAGAGAGAGTGGCCAACCAAATACCCTTCAAGCTTGAGATTTCTATTATTTGTATAACAGCTCAATATTATTCAGCTGCCAATGACGTATGCCGCCTTATTCAAGAGACTAGCCTCTCCAGTCGTAGATGCTAAATAGCCTTCTTAGTACCAGCTGCTCAGCATGCCCTGGCTGATCTAACTAGATCTACTCAAAGTCATGTGACACTCATGCTCTGCATCTCGTGACTTCTTAAACGTGATCGCACTCTCATCTATCATCTAGGGCTCAACCCCCTTCTCCTCACCTGACCTCAAAGACGGCCACCCTCCCATATTTCACCTTGTCGCACGACTTCCTGACTCCAAATTTTTCTTTTTTTTGCACTATGCTTGCACCTTCACCCAGCACTCAAACTCACAATCGTGAAAAATAAAAAAAAAAAATAGACAAATTCTTTGTTATCCCATTAGACAGCACTATATACAACAGAAATGAGTCAAATTGTATGTGATATTGAAGCGATATAGATATATTAATGAATGTAAAGATATGCGAAGTGAAGCGGTAACTTTCTTAGTGTTTTGAGGAGATCCAGATTTGATGAAGTGTGAAATATTCGTGGCGGCCATTTCAACAGAGCCAGTGGGAACAGATAGCCCAGAAGAAAGTCCAAGGCAGTAAAAGCACTATGGAAAGAACCACCCATTCTTCCTAGTAAACTGTAGTCCTACATTATGAGAAGAGAAACCTGAAAGCTACCACCACAAATAGAGAATAGCAGGAATGTTGTACACCCGCTTCTGTATGAGCTAGTAGGTGCTCTTGCAGTCCTGCGCCCAACACACATGGTAGCGAACGAAAATTTCAACCAAAGAATCTCGAATGGTTATATAACTCCGCAAATTGGCATATACCCTATGGACAATCAAGATCATACTCAAACATGGACACAGATGACTTCCCGTATCGAATCTTTTCCTGAATTTTCATTAATATTTTTTTTCACTAATAATTTTTTTTTCTTATAGATTCCCTTTTACTAACATATTCCCTTTAGGCTCCAAAGTGGTACCAATCCCAAGACGCCCCAGTCGCTAAGCAAACTAGAAAGACTTCTCGTCCACAAAAGTTGAGAGCTTCTTTAGTCCCAGGTACCGTCTTAATCCTTTTGGCCGGTAGATTCAGAGGTAAGAGAGTTGTCTACTTAAAGAACTTGGAAGACAACACCTTATTGGTCTCTGGTCCATTCAAGGTTAACGGTGTCCCATTAAGAAGAGTTAACGCTAGATACGTTATCGCCACCTCCACCAAGGTTAACGTTGCTGGTGTTGACGTTTCTAAATTCAACGTTGAATACTTTGCTAGAGAAAAGGCTCCAAAGGGTAAGAAGACCGAAGCTGAATTCTTCGACGAATCTGCTCCAAAGAAGGAAATCAAGGCTGAAAGAGTTGCTGACCAAAAGTCTGTTGACGCTTCCTTGTTATCTGAAATCAAGAAGACCCCATTATTAAAGCAATACTTATCTGCTTCATTCTCTTTAAAGAGCGGTGACAAACCACATTTATTAAAGTTTTAATAGTGTAAACTTTGTATATTTAATACATTTTTGAACGACGGAGATAATGTACAATCTATCAAAGACTGATTCAAGTGTATTCAGGTAATTTTAGATTGAGAGAGTGTAAGAAATTGGTTATATATAGGACTTTACAGAAATAATAAATCGTTTTACTAGCCAGTTGATTATAGTAGGAATTGTGGAGAATTTTGTATGGCGCCGTTGTATAGATTTTTGTGGGAACACGGTTTATGATTTATTCTAACTGCAATAATGGAGAAGTGTGCTGCATCTTCTTAGTTGTGCCTTCTCTAAATGCCTTTGTCTTCCTGTTTGAAGGTGGAGAGGAAGCCCATAACAGGAAGAGAGAGAGAGAGAGAGAGAGAGAGAGGAGAGAGGAGAAAATCACGTGCCCTTACTCCACGTGCCTTACGTACTACTCATCTACTCAACTAGTGCTCCAGACAGAGTACACCAACGAGAGAGAGACACCACCAAGCACGCCCATCACCTAGAGGAAGCCTCCGTTAGTCCCAAATTCCCTTTCTCTTACCTCCCCAATGCCATATTCTTCCGCAGCTTTCATTACTTTCTCACTTTTTTCTGCCTAATCTCTATCCTCTACTTCTCCTCACCATGAGCTTTTCATCTATGTCCATTTTTTCCACAGCTCATCGCACGCCTCCAGGTTTAGACCAATTTTCGTTTGTCGCGGCTCGATAGTGAAAATTTCAGAAGGTCATCTCATCTCATTTTTCTTTCCACTCTTCTTTCTTTCGTCAAGTATTGAAAAACTCACATAATGGCTTCATTATTACCTCTTGCTACTTATAACCTTGCCCTTAAACCATTCTCACCAGCCCCAGCTATTGAGGATGACTTTCCAGTCACAATTAGAATAACTTTGGCCGCTGTCGACCCAGAAGCTTCTGACGATAAGGCCGAGCCTTCTACTTTGAGATTGTTGAAGAGAAGCAATGCATTCATTGACGACGAAAGCGACGATGAAGATGACGATGACGAAGAAGATGAATTAGATGATGAAGAAGCTGAAGCCGCTGCCACTGCTGAAGATGACGAAGAAGAAGATCTCGATGACGATCTCGATGAAGAAGAAGACCTCGATGACGAAGATGGAGAAGTCTCTGAATTTGTTGTCTGTACTCTTTCTCCAAAGGTCCAATTCCAACAAACCATTGACATCACTATCAACCCAGAAGAAGAAGTCTACTTTGTCGTTACTGGTTCTTACCCAATTCACCTTTCTGGTAACTACGTTGAACACCCTGCTGATGACGAAGACTCCGACTCTGACGAAGAAGACTACCTTGAAGATGATGAAGATGAATATGACATGACTCCAGATGAAGATGAACTCATCTACGATCTCGAAGATCTTGAAGACGCCTCTGATATTGAAAACAAGATTGAAGAATTAGTCGAACAAGATTCTAAGAAGAGATCTGCTGCTGAAGAGGATGTTGAAGAAGATGAAGAAGAAGAAGAGGAAGAAGCTGCTCCAGTTACCAAGAAGTCCAAGAAGGCCAAGTCTGACGACAAAAAATCTGTTCAATTCACCAAGGAATTAGAACAAGGCCCAACTGGCTCCACTCTTGTTGAAAAGAAGGAAACTAAGAAGGAAAAGAAGGAAAGAGCCAAGAAAGAAGCCGCCGCTGCTGTTGCTAAGGAAACCGCCGAATCTGGTGAACCAAAGGACAAGAAGTACCCAACCAAGACTTTACTTGGTGGTGTCATTGCCGAAGATAGAAAGCTCGGTAAGGGTCCACAAGCCAAGTCTGGTAACAAGGTTGGTATCAGATACATTGGTAAGCTCAAAAATGGTAAGGTCTTTGACAAGAACACTTCTGGTAAGCCATTCTCTTTCGGTTTAGGTAAGGGTGAATGTATCAAGGGATTTGACTTGGGTGTCGCTGGTATGGCCGTAGGAGGAGAAAGAAGAGTTGTTATCCCAGCCAAGATGGGATACGGCTCTCAATCTTTACCAGGTATCCCAGCTAACTCCGAATTGACTTTCGATATCAAGTTGGTTTCTATCAAATAAAGATACGGAAGCATGATGTAGGAGAGGAATTGCCAGTCAAAAACAATGAAAACAAAATGATAAAATAACAAAAAATGGGCGGATCGTATATATAAGCGTAATTGAATGATAATCAAAAAGTCTAGATTGTAGAAGTAGGGCATTTGTTGCACCGGTTAGAGGTCTGACAAGAACCCAAAAAGGTACGTCTTCTCTAAGAAGTGTGGAGTATTTCGAACCCTAACACTTAATAAAGCTCAATTTCGGACAGGTTTGTTTCCTCTCTAAGTCTGAAAGACACACTGAACGGTGTTGCTCTTTCACTCTATGGTACCCACTGAGCGCGCACAGCCCAAGAGCTCCGCAATACCTAAGAAGTAGACTGTGTCACCGTTACTTCACGGCGCAGGACTGTAATCAATGACTACGGAAGGGGTGCGTAGGAAGCCGTCACGAAAAGAAGTCTAATACTTGACTATATGATTTAACTACAATTGTGTACCTACACGCTTCGTACTCGGTAGGTCATATGTTGAGGATTTTCCAGGTTACAATTTTGCACCCAAAATGGACAATTGAAAGATGAATTAATATCACTCACTATACCATCTATGGCACAGCACTATAAATGAATAGAAAAGAATGTAAAAAGAAGGACCTTGGGGACACTATAACTATCCATAGTGCAAATAAACAGAATCGGTTCAGCTTTGCTAAAAATGTGGCTCTTTCTTATGTTTTGTACAGTGGTTGGTTACTTCCCCTAATTGATATTTTGTAGCTCTTGTCAAATCTGCAGCACAAAAATTTCACCTTAATTGTCCCAAACGGGACGGTAGATCGCACAGTTAGTACAAAAAAGAAACCACAACCAACCACTATATAACCACATAGTCAGTAATTTCTGACCAAAAGTATCAAGTACAGCCCGAATACTGATGACAAGACCGTCAGCTAGATCATCCATGTCTTTTTCTCGTTTAAGGCTAACCTAGTATCCCACTCAGGAACCTTAACCTACCATGGTCATCTTCTGGAGTTTCTCGTTTAGCTCGTATTGACCTGCATGGCGCCCAATAAAAACGCCAAAAGAGTAATCGAAAATTCAGTCGCGCAAACTTTTCTCACTTTAACCTTTCTTTTGTAAGAACCCAAAAAAAAGTTGGGTTGGACTTCTTGACGTTACACAGTTGTTTGAGGAACTAGAGGTTAATTGTTCAGGTATGTATGGTAATAATAATAAACCGATCGAGGCTTTTGAATTATGTGGAGGGACTAAGAGTGCTGCATTATTTTTAGGGACGTTGGGTACTAGCGTCTCTTGTTTATACTGAATCAACGAAGATGGCAGCCATTTTTCTCGACATCGATAGCGGAAAATATTTCAGTTTATCGAGGAACACCCACAGAGTAAATTGTGAATGATACTTCAGAATAGCCATATGCGTATTCATTTTTAGACGTCAAAGGTGTACGTCAAAGGTGTGCAATGTAACTATCTATGGCTGGCTGATATCTGTCCCCTGTTAGCTACGAGGGGGTACGCTCTTCACTGGAGGTTGTACGGCTGCAGCACATAACTAAGCGACGGACTTGAATTTTTTTTTGTAATTGGAAGAGCAGGTATCACTACTACCGAGAACAAGATCAAAAACGAGAAATCAGTAGGAGGTCACCATGTCTATGAGATCATGGCATACTTGCGGAAATGGTGTAGTCCGAGACGGTCTTCACTTGCCTCGACATTTCATTTCTACGGCTGCTAACTCCTGATCCACCTGAAGTGTTGATCGTTGCAGCTGGTCCTCGAATCATCCTTTCTATTACAGTACTAACCATTATAGCATGCTTACATTGGTCAAAAGGGGTACGACTGCCTTAGCCAGCATATCAGCACATCGTCCTATTCATGTCATTCTCATCACTGCACTTTTCGCATCCGTTGCGTATCTCTCAGTGGTAGATGAATACATTCCGGAGTTCTTCCGCGCAGACCAATCTCTATCTTACTACCACCCACCCTCATCATCACAAAATTTTAATGATTGGATTCCAATTTCTAATGATGATATTATAAATTCATACCCTGAAGCAGAGCATTTAGTTATGGTTTCCCTTAGATTTAAGAGATCTCACAACAACCCAATCCCTGAGATAAGTGATTCATTCAGAGGCAGCACCGAAAATGAAAGAATTTTGATTACCAAAAATGATTCAATTGATACCAAATTAGATGCAATCGATAAAATCACTTCAAGTGAAGGAATCACTTGGAAGGCAAGACATCATAACAGAATCACTAAATATTATGAGTACGTAAAGTATGGAATTACCAATTTGAAGGAATCCATTAGTAATGCCGAAAATTTCGACATAGGGCTCATTTCCTTAGCTTATTTAGCAATGTGGTACACTTTATTGAAGGTATTCTTTGATATGAGACAAATTGGATCTAACTTTTGGTTAGGTTTCTCAACTTTAAGTTCTTCAAGTTTTGCCTTTTTGTTCGCTTTATTCCTTACCACGAGAGTCTTGGACGTTAAGGTACCTATGTTACTGTTGACTGAAGGAATTCCATTTTTGGTTGCAATTATTGGATTCAAGCATAAAATTTCCATCGCCTCTGTTGTTATGAAAAACTCTCAACTTACCGGAGAAGATGCTAAAACCATTGTCAGTAACGCTATTTCTGGCCACTCTTTGAGTTTGTTAAGAGATAACTTGGTTGCCATTGGTGCTCTCACTGCTTGTTCAATTTTGGCTCCACAAGTCAATGGGTTAGCCCAATTTTGTACGCTTTCTGCCATTATTTTAAGTTTTGACTTGATCTTGGTTTACACATTCTACCTGGCTATTTTAGCATTGAAGGTAGAAATTAATAGAGCAAGAAGAACTGAAGATTTGAAAATTGCATTAGAAGAAGAGGGTGTTTCATCTTTAGTTGCACAAAATGTTGCACTTTCAAGCAGTGCAATTGAATTCCCATCTGACGGCCAAAGTTTTCTTGTTGGTGATAACTCAATCATCTCCTTTAAGACTGCTATGATTGCAGTTTTCGTTGGATTTCAAATATTCTTAGTAGGTGGTGGCTCATGGATCTCTGATGATACTTACAAATCATTTACTTCAAATTTCAGTAACCTTGTATTTTATAAATCTACTGCAAAGCACATCCCCATTGATAAAGCCAATGGAACCATTGTCACATTGATAACTCCAAGAATTTATATGCCAATGGGTTTCTTAGTAGAGAGTGAAGACTATGTCCTACTCGCATTGGAAAAGATTAGTTTAGCTATTAGAGATAAAATTATTTCTAAATGTTTACTTTTTGGATTTGCCTTGAGTATTTCAATCAATGCATACTTTATGAATGCCTCAAGATATCAGGCCACTGCTACCAGAAAATTGATTGAAAGTGCCCAGGTTAATGAAGAAAAAGTTAATAGCATACAAACAGAAAAAGTTCTCGTTGCTTCAAAGAGTAAAGAATCAAAGTCTGCTGTTCCTAATGGACATGCATCACATTCCTTGTTACCGCTTGAAGACTGTGTTAAGATTTTAAACGACGGTAAAGTCACTGAATTAAATGATAATGAGATTTCAACACTTGTCGTTGCAGGAAAACTCCCACTCTATTCGTTGGAAAAGAAATTAGCCGATAACACCAGAGCCGTTGCCGTTCGTAGAAAGGCGGTTGCCAAGTTAGCGAACGCCCCAGTTTTGGATACCGAACGTTTACCATATGAAGGTTATGATTACGACCGTGTCTATGGAGCATGTTGTGAAAATGTCATTGGGTATATGCCAATCCCAGTCGGTATTGCGGGACCATTAATAATTGATGGAAAGCCTACTCATATACCTATGGCAACAACAGAAGGTTGCCTTGTTGCTTCTGCTATGAGAGGTTGCAAGGCAATTAATGCTGGTGGTGGTGTCCAAACCGTCTTAACTCAAGACGGTATGACTAGAGGTCCATGTGTTAGCTTTCCTACTTTAGCAAGAGCTGGTGCAGCTAAGATATGGTTAGATTCCGAAGAAGGTCAAACAACAATTAAAAAAGCATTCAATTCTACTTCTAGATTTGCTAGATTACAACATATTAAAACTGCTATGGCAGGAACATTATTATTTATACGTTTCCGTACTACCACTGGTGATGCCATGGGTATGAATATGATTTCCAAGGGTGTCGAATATTCGTTGAAATATATGGTTGAAGAATGTGGTTGGTCAGATATGGATGTTATCTCAGTTTCAGGTAACTACTGTACCGATAAGAAACCTGCTGCCATCAATTGGATAGAAGGTAGAGGTAAATCTGTCGTTGCTGAAGCTAGAATTCCTGCAGATGTTGTTCGTAAGGTTTTGAAATCAGATGTCGCAGCCTTGGTTGAATTAAACACCAGTAAGAATTTGATTGGTTCTGCAATGGCAGGTTCAATCGGTGGTTTTAATGCACAGGCCGCTAACTTGGTTACTGCTGTTTTCTTAGCTTGTGGACAAGATCCAGCTCAGAACGTTGAATCTTCAAACTGTATTACATTGATGAATAATATTGATGGAGACTTACAAATTTCCGTTTCCATGCCTTCTATTGAAGTTGGAACTATTGGAGGTGGTACTATTTTACAACCACAAGGAGCCATGTTAGATTTATTAGGCGTCAGAGGACCACATCCAACTAAACCTGGTGAAAACGCTAGACAGTTAGCAAAAATTGTCGCATCTGCTGTTTTGGCTGCAGAATTATCATTGTGTAGTGCCTTAGCAGCTGGACATCTTGTTCAAAGTCATATGCAGCATAATCGTGCTGGAGCTACAGCTGCGACCGCTGCACCAACTTCAAAACCTATTGCAAATGGTAATGGTAATGGCAATGGTACATCCAATGGTGCCACTGCTGCTGATATTGCTCGTCTTAAGGAAGGCGCAGTTAATTGTATTCGTTCTTAGCATATATAGAAATTCATGTATAATAAAGAAAAAAGTAATGAAGTAAAGTATTGTGTAATTGTTTTTGAATGAGTGAAGGTGGATATTTAATGGACTTCCATTCTAAAAAAGTCAAACCTCCAGCAAAACTAACCAAATCTATGGCTTGGTAGCATATCACTAAGCGACATTGCACAAGGTAACGAGGTAACGAGGTAACAAGGTAACATGGCAACAAGCCACTATGCAATCAGTCACTTTGCTACAATGGCTGCGAATTAATGTATGAGTCAGTGATTTCCAAATTGATGCCAAATTTTTGATGCACATCCTTACACCCATCAACTTGAATTCATCTCAGATCGGGAAACCAACAATGAACATTGGTGCTAGAGTTTAACGGAAAGAAGAAGTAAAGGAGTCAACCAGTACATTAGTCCGTATTTTTCTTAGACGCAATTATTTATACATGCCATCGCAAGAAATTGGAGAGACTATCCCAGCGAATACGCCTCATGCTGTTTCTGTTACGCTTCCAACATGGGAAGCAACAGTTGGCTACGAAGAGGGCCAGGATTGGGTAGTATCCAAGATGACTTCCGGGTATCCAAGATTCTTTATCCATTCAGTTATCCAGCAGCTTGCCAAGGGCATAGAAGCCAAGTATGGCCGTGACGGAGAACGTTGTATGATTTTCCCAACCTATAATGTAGCTAAACGATGCAGAGAGTTTATCAAAGAGAAGACCAGCTTGGATCAGGTCTTAGTCAGAGTTTTACAATTAAGTACTAGGGCACCTAAGGATGAAAATGAGAAATCAACAGTCATTGAGACGAACATTGGAGTTGTTTTTTTCCCTCTATCCGAATTCTCCTTGGCCAAGAACTATTGGCAACACCTGGGTGAAGGTATCTCTTCTAGAATGGGTGAATATTTACTCAAGGAATTGATTGAACCTCAAGCTGCTACTAATCCAAGAGGCAATATGAAAGCAGAATTACAGGCTAAACAAATACAACTGAAATCTCCATCTATTTCTATATCATCATCTGGAACTAACGCCTTAGAGAGTGATAAGGAATCTGATACCTTCATTGAACAGAAGTATGGCCGTGTTTTAGATTTAAAGTTTGCTCCAGAAGCCAAGGTTGCATTGAGGAGAAGAATTTCCGGAAAGGCTGACAAGTCCCATAATCAAGAAGAAGAGATGGAAAAGGCTCGTAGAGGTAAGAATTTAAGTGAAACCGACGTTTATTTGTATCCAACTGGGATGGCTTCGATTTTCAACGCACATCAAGCTTTAATGAAAATCTTCCAGCCTACTCCTAAGATTTCTGTTATGTTTGGATTTCCTTATGTAGACACCTTAAACATCTTAAAAAAATTCGGACCTGGCGTTCATTTCTTAGGGTTAGGTGACGACGAATCTTTAGATGAGTTGGAAAGAGATTTGGCAGATGGTAAGCTTGATATCATGGCACTCTTCTGTGAGTGCCCTTCAAACCCTTTGTTGAAGACTCCAGATTTACCTAGAATTAGAAAACTAGCCGATAAATATGGATTTGCTGTTGTTATCGACGAAACGATTGGAAACTTTTTAAATATTCATGTTCTCCCATACGCAGACATAGTCGCTTCATCTTTAACCAAGGTGTTTTCTGGAGATTCAAACGTTATGGGTGGTTCAATAATCATCAATCCTAGCTCTCCCTTCTACCCTCAGCTTCAGAAGTACTTTAATGAAGAATATGAAGATTGCTTTTGGGCAGAAGATGCATTATACTTAGAGAGAAACTCACGAGATTTTGCAGACAGATCTGCTAAGATCAACGAAACATCACTTGCTGCCTTGGAACTTCTTGTCAATTCCCCATTGATCTCCAAAGTGTACTACCCCTCTATTTCAGAATCCAAGAAGCATTATGATGCTATCAAAACCTCTACTGGTGGGTACGGTGGATTAATGTCTTTTCTCTTCCATGATCCTGCTGATGCGGTTTGCTTTTTCAACGCCGTCAATATCCACAAGGGCCCTTCATTAGGTACCAATTTCACATTGGCATGTCCATATGCGATATTGGCTCATTACGAGGAATTAGATGAAATTGCCAAGTGGGATATCGACAGAAATTTAATTAGAATCAGTGTTGGATTAGAAGATAAAGATGAGTTGATTGAAGTATTACAGAGAAGCTTAGATACCGCTGCTGCTCAGCATAAATGAGTCGAGCAGATCGAGATATTTAAAGTGAAAGTGTTTAGTACAATAGATTAGAACGTATAGAAAGTAGGGTTTTTATCATTAATGTTGTATATTTAATTCATGTAGCAAGCTGAATAAGATGTATATTTAATTACTGTAGCAAGCTGAATAATCGATGTACATTAGACTCAAGTTCCTGGAAATTTCATTCCTTCACAATACTCCGGTGGTTCACCAATTATTTTGGTATGTATTACTTCCCCAACATACCAATATCTCAAATGGTTTCCGTAAAAGCGTTGCCAACCAGAGATATCACTCATCGCTTCTTCAATATCTAAGCCTCTTAAATCGTGAGTGAACTCATCCTCCTTGTTAAAACAACCTGTGACAAATGCCCGTGCACCATCTTTACCGCTGAAAAATGCGTACGATCCACCAGGTCCATATGTCAGTCTTGAATTGGATACATCGTAGACTTTCCCATATATTCCAATATAAATGGGAAGTGATGGGTCTGTCCCGTTGTACAATGCAAGTTCATCCTCAGTAAAGGTAAGGTGGGTTGCACCGTTCATAAACTTAAATTTTAAATATCCAACATCTTTCCATCTACTTTCATAGCCCCACGTTGTAGATGAAGTGAAATAATACGAAAGTAAAGCATTGAAAAAGAGAATGCCTCCAATAACTCTAACCACGTCTAATACCGAGAACCCACCGCTTTCACTATCCTTTTCAGGGTGTTTGTCATTTTCACTCATAATATGTGGGGTCACTTCCGAATGTACCATATGTCTCGAACCATGATACATTGAACTCTACAGTCATAGAGGATGAAAAAAAAAAGAAAAAGTTTTGGTGGACCTATGCGGCTCAGATCTCCACATTTCACTAGAGACAGGAGCAAAAAATAGGAGATCCGAACAAAGGGGGGTTCTATAACGTCTTACTTTGGCCAGCTCAAATCTAAATCCAGTTGCTGCTCCCCCAAACCATTGAGAAGGGGTCGAATCAAATGCTATATTCATAGCTCGTGTGATATGCAATAGCAGAAGAGTTGCATATTGAGAAATTTTTAATTTTCAGGAACCGGTTTTTTTTTTACGAGTTCCGGGGGCTTGCGGGGGATCAATTATTAATGTAAGCAATGAAGAATACAATCTAGCTAATAGAAAGCAGGTCAAGAGCAGGTCAAGAGCAGGTCAAAAGCAGAAGCTTAGAGATGTCCTTATGTCTTTCCATGATCGGGGATTAATATGCCATGCCTTTCATGGAGTTCGTTCAGACAGCCATCTTTCAAGACTCTCTGCATAAGGAATAGCATAATGTGTACATTGCTTTTGTTATGATGCATGTTGTCATGCTGTTTCGAGGATTCGGATAAAATGCCAAAAGGATCATTTGATGTATTACTGAATCAAATTAAACTATAAACTCATGCAGCAAACAATGACTTCGTCGTTACATGATTGTGGGGAATGCAGAAAAGCTGCTAACCCAACTATTTTTTCGGTGCTGTTGCTATTTTTTCCGAAGTTTAAAGAAAGTGCTTACTTTTTCATCCACTGTAATCAAGAAGTCATTAGTAATGTTTGGTAAGGTTGGGTAACGTATTGGTGTTAGTAATAATGAGAATGAGTGCTTACAAGACGGGCAATATCACATTTACGTTCTAGAACCCGAACGCTTCGTATTTAGTGTTGTATTGTTATGTCCAGTTGTTATTGTTATGGGGTACAGCTCGATTAGCCGTAACCGGATTATGATTAATGAGGAGATCCCCAATTAGTCTCTTCGCTTCTCAATTTGGCTTCCAACAATAGTGATTGAGTAAAAGGTATGTAATTCCGAGTACCTTACGGAATTACTTGGTCATGTTATTTTCCGGTATTGTGCTACATCGGCCCAATCTTTATGTATGCTCGAGTTTCCTAGCGTTGGTTGCAAATTAGTAAGATCTTAAGTTTGTTTAACAGATTCAACAAATATAAACAAAAGTAACATGCAAAATAGGATGTGGAGCAGAAACGCAATAAAGTATAAATAGGTGATCATTTGTCACTTATTTTGATTTGAATCTTCCTTTCTTTCATTAACACCATTCTCTTTTAAATATGTATTCTAGTGTTGCTCCCATACTCTTTTGCTTGGGATACCTTAGTAGGACAGGTCAATCGCAACCTGTCAATCAGACTACTTCGGACTCCCAATACTCTATTGATTGGAATCCTACCTATGAATATTCCACTTTTTCATATTATCCAAACCCCTCTAAGACTTATGCTACACCAAACCCAAAAGCTAACTCCACAACTTACTATGCTCCACACTACACGGATGTTGCAGGAAGCCTTCTTGGAAATATCTCAACAACTACGTGGGGAAACTGGGATCATAGCACTAAAGTCAATGCTACCGATTCTGATGATCCATACGGAAATTATGCCTGGACCAAGATGTGGGAGGATGCTTCCATAAAGAACTATACAAACTCCGCTTTATATAGTACTACTGTTACCCCCACTGCAATTCCATCAAGCGACTTAATTTTACCTCCGGAAGATTCCTACAGCTTTGATGATACATTGAAGTTTCCTAGTGGATTCATATTTGGAGTGGCAGGATCTGCAGCACAAATCGAAGGTGCAATTGCTGATGAGGGACGTACTCCAACTATACTTGAAACTGGCACTATGAATGATAACAAGTCTAACGATTATGTCACCAATGAAAATTACTACTTATATAAGCAAGACATTGTTAGAATTGCTGCTATGGGAGTTAAATACTATTCATTTACCATTCCATGGACTAGAATAATGCCATTTGTCTTGCCAAATACTCCAGTTAATAAACTAGGGATTGACCATTATGATGACTTGATCAATACTTGTTTAGAATATGGAATAACACCAATTGCTACATTGACACACTTTGACTCTCCATTGATGTTTAATCAAGGCAACTTCACTGCAAATTCTACCCTTTTTAACAATGCTGGGTACGACAATGATACATTTGTCGATGCCTTTGTTAACTATGGAAAAATTGTTTTATCTCATTATGCTGACAGGGTTCCAATTTGGATTGGATTTAATGAGCCATTCCTTTATGCTGGTAATGCAGTTGGTGTCAAGCACGTTATCCAAGCTACTGCACAGCTTCATAAATTCTACCACGAGGAATTGAAGGCGACAGGAAAGTTTGGTATCAAATTTAACGATAACTTTGGAGTACCTAAAGACCCAACTAATGAAGATGATGTAGCTGCTGCAAATAGGTTCCAAGAACTTTATTTAGGATCATTTGCAAATGCCCTATTCTTAGGAAAAGACTACCCAGATTCATGGAAAGATACCTTCAGTGACACTCTATCTGAATTCAGTTTCACAGAAGACGAATTAAAGGATATTAAAGGAGGAGCTGATTTTTTTGGTATTGATCCATATACTTACACCGTTGTCTCAGCTCCAGAAGGAGGAATTGAAGCATGTGCAGCTAATTCTAGTGACACTCTTTGGCCATATTGTGTTGTACAAGAAGAAACTGCAGAATCCGGTTGGGCAATAGGATACAGATCTCAGAGTTATGTTTACATTACTCCTACTCAATTGAGAGAGTTTTTGAATTACATTTGGGATACTTTCGAAGCTCCTGTTTTTGTTACAGAATTTGGCTTCCCTGAATGGAGAGAAGCTGAAAAAGAATTGAAAGATCAAGTCTTTGATGAAAATAGGTCTATTTATTATAGATCATTTATGCAAGCAATTTTGCAAGCAATCAATCTTGATAAAGTCCAAGTTATTGGTGCTTTGGCTTGGTCATTTGCGGATAATTGGGAATTTGGCGATTATACTCAACAGTTTGGGTTACAAGTTGTTAATAGGACTACCCAAGAGAGGCACTATAAGAAAAGTTTCTTCGATTTAGTTAAATTTATTGAAGATAGAAGATAGTCTTACATATGAATAAATACTTGATTTTTATTAAAGTAAAGTAGTACCGTTTTCAGGCATACTTATTTTCTGTCCATATTATATAATATAAAAATATTACATTTCCATACGTTTTAATTACTAAGTATTCCTTATTATCATAAAAAGAATAATTCAGGGTTATTCATACCACTTCCAAAGTTAATCTTATCGGAATCTGTTCTAAGTAAAATATCAGACCAAAATTCATCGTTCAATGCTAAATAAGACGATTCTAGCTGGTCTGCATTTGCCAAATTTTGAAATTGTTGTTGAGGTTGAGGTTGAGGTTGTTGTTGTTGTTGTGGATGGTGATGGTGATGTTGTTGTTGTTGTTGTTGTTGCTGTGGCTGTTGCTGTTGCTGTACTTGCAGTAGTTGCAGATCTTGTTGCGCTACCCCACCATACATTTCATGGTTTCCATTACCATTGTTTGACAGAACTTGATAATTTGGATTTAGTATGGAACCAAAATGCTTTGGCCTATGCCCGTTAATGGGAGGTAAAGAGTTACTTGGATATGATCTTGTACTGCCATGAGCTGGCGATAACAGTGCAGTATTTACTGGAATTGGATTTGAATCTCGTCTCAGAGAGTCAACATTAGAAGGCTTAAGCTCACCATTAGTAGAAGATGCATGGCTATTTGTTTGCCGTGCTTGCGAAGATGGGTAAATGTTTCCAGGGCTGCTTGCAGGCGAATTGTTAGAACTGGAACTCCGAACTGATGCTGCATACGATAATACATCCAATGGGATATGTTGGGCAAAATATTTACCCAGTTCATTGGTAAGGACTCCACCTTTAGGCATCTGATCAAATATTTTGGAAACCTCAGTTTGATCTGGTTTACTCAAGGACGGCCTAAAGTTTTCAGGCGTTTCTCCATTTGTTGAATTCATTAACAATTCCTGCACCTGTGTAGCATATGTTTGAGTGAACAACGACAATACAAGTCTAACCTTCTTCAAAAAGTGATTGTATGGATAGTTATTTGAAGCAATTTCTACTAAGCCGCTTAGCTTTTGAATAGCAGTTATTGCTGTTTGTGGGACGAGGTCTTTCTCAATGTGCAGTGGAATTGACAAAATAAGATATCTTAGTCTAAGCAACATACCCGCAGTATAAAGAATACGGGAACTATGATATAATGGCATAGTTGCAATTTCATCAGGAAGCATTTGATTAAATTGATATAATGCGTTCAAACAAGAGTTTGTGCATGTACTAATTGATTGAACTGCTTCTGGCAGCATATTGATAGCACGTCCTTCGCTAATTCCTTCCGTTTCATATGTAGTTGATAATAAATGTCCTAACATAGGTTCATGCAAATAAGCTTCGACGGAATAATAATATGCCATAAATGGATAATCATTTGGATCAATCTTTTCCCTTATAATATTTAGATTTTTTTGAAGTTCCTTAGTAACGTACTTGTCAGCTGAAAATGATGATGATGATGATGCAGAGTTTTTATTCGCATTCAAAGAGTTTGATGAAGTCAGAGCATTTAAAGATGAAGATGCAGCTGCAGGGAAGTCGGGAGCATGAAGGATATGATGAATCCTATCCAACTGATGAGTTAATCTCAGAAACAATGCCAAGTTTGCCAAAGTTTTATCGCCACAATTTTCCAAAACGGTACACGATTCTTCCACGTAAGGAGTCCATTTGACATATATGGTTCTTCGTAAGATAAGACATATACTGACAGTTGAGAAATATAAGACCATTATGAGCTTTCTATACTCAAAAGTTTGAGCATTTTCCTCATCTTCACCGTTTGAAGACTTCCCTACTGATAATGTCTTATTGGCGAAGTTATAACTTGGTTTACCAATTATGCCTAGGTCATGGACCAAGGTTACGCATAGGACATTCAAGAGATGATAGCGTCTTCTTCTGAAAAGCTCAGGAGTATTGTACCAATGACACAACAAAAGTAAACTTTTTATTAATTCTTCAGATTTCGACCCTGCAACCAAAACTTCAGTGGTAATTGATTGAATAGCAGCATTATCAATTGCCAAAGATTCGTCCGAGTCCAATGGTCTGGCGTATACAGCATTTGTAACAGACATAATTGCATTGAGCAAAAATGGCTTAGTCTCTTGAAGATCGGCTACCGTGGCATTCTCATCAACTTCTACAATAGGGTGACGCCTGTAAATCTTTGTTTTGTACAAATGTAGTCTTTTTGTTGCAGCCTCCATGGTGATGATACCCGAACTTACCATATCTACTCTGTTCGAATTCCTTAACAATGTAAACCTTCGGTCAGCTGCAATTTTGAAAGATGTGGTTAAATCTGTAAGTACGTTATTGGAAGAATCGCATAGATGAGTTATTTCTCTTTGTAGGTCCGACTTGGAGACATACATAGACGGGTTGGAATTCTGGGACAAATGCAGTTGGTTAGCATTGAAATGATGTTGAGGAGGTGTATTGATATTATTACGTCTAGCGCTTTCCAATTCAGATGAAAGATATCGCACTTGCTCCTCTAATCTTATAATAGCTTCATCTTTGAGATCCTGCGCTTGAATATTTGAAACTTTATTGTATGAAAGTGGATTTGATGTTGAAAATGGGGGAGGGGGAGGAAGCGCCGGTTCATCTGAGTTGGGGGGCCTTGGGATGCTACCGATTGGTATTCCAACGGATCCATTGTTACTGGTAACATAGTTATTACCAATACTACTAATGCTAGCACCACTATCATGAGGATTATTATTATTATTTTTAGCTGCAGAAGCTGGTACTGGTGTGTTTGGAGAGCTCGGAGCTGTTGCCTTCTTTCTTCTTTTCCTCGGCTGATTCAAATCAATCTCACATATTCTCTTCAGATTAAGGCATCTCAAACATGGTCCAGCTGGGTCGTTCTCGTCGGAAGGCGTACACTTAACTTTCAATGAGTGGCAGCTCTTACAGGCCACCGGCCGTCTTTGAGATTTACTCGTGGTCGGAGGAGTTACCTCAGCCGTAGATTCCTTATCCTTCATTGAGATTCAAAGTTCTTACGGTCGTCTTTTTGGTTTTCACTGCTGGTACAATTTTCAATATTCTGAGAAGAAATTTACTACTGAACAAATCAAAAAAAATTAGTAGCCAGCCCAAATGTGGGAGAAGTGGTGTGTGCAACGGAGATACGCTGGAAAGTTAAAGAGTGCGTTTGTTATGTGTTTAATATTTTCAATGAGCTTTCCCAAAGGAGTCCCTTAAAAAAAATGAGATATATTGCGCAAAATTCTTCGATATTGCAAAAGAGATATATGTAAAAAGTAGGTTCATAGAACAAAAATATATAGGATATAAGTATCAATACAAATAATATTTTTTTCAATATCACCCAAGCTCAACATTAGCTACTGAATTTTCTTGACTCTGAACAGCTTTCTCTCTCAGGATTCTTACAAACAAACAGAAGATGCAACGCAGTGAACTTCTGTTCAACAATAGAAAGAAGAAATAGTACTGCTGAGAAAAAAAAAATTGTTTCCATGCCTGATAACTTAAATATTTGTAATTCAAAAATGAATGTCCGAGATTAAAAGGATCTTGCTTCTAAAATTAGTTTTCAGAAGAAGCGAGGAACTTCAATTTAGTAGTTACTTGGATCTATAGACATCCTTCCCTCTCGTGCATGGATAAGAAATTCAGTCCCAACTAGATCACCTGCATGTTGTTTATGAGTGAGTGGGCTGCAAATTTAGAGCGGCTAAGACGTGGAGTGCAGAAGAGGAGGGAGAAGAAAATTATATGGCTACGGCTTCCACTCGTCTGAATGTATTGGTGCAAGTTGTGCGACATATGTATAATGTACTGTTTGCTCCAGCAGCACAAATCCACCATAATAATCCAATTCCTAAGGAAATGCTTACGCTAATTCTTGGTTCGTTTGCTGATTCTATCCCCATGCGTTCCTGTACACAGGTTCACTTAAGACAGTTATCACGGGTTTATTGTTGAAGAGGCTAGCTCAATAATAAAGGTTGGTGAAATACTATGCAACGCAAATCGCTATGTAGCACCATCCCAATACTATATACACACTATGCAGGCTGAATAACTAACCCGCTCACCATTCGGTCTTGCATTCAACCAGTTCGTGGCTCTTTGGGTTCGCGTACCTTATTCCTTTTACATCACCTGAATTAGCTTGTATGACATCACTCCGTGCAACTTGATTCCGAATTTCACCTCCTGTATGTAACACTCAGGAATATTTTTTTCTTTAGCGGTTCTGGGCCTTCTTGACACATGGATCGAAAAGAACTATTCAACAAGTCAGCCATTTATGGATGAATTTCAGTGTTGCTCAGAGTAGAATATATACATAGCCACTCAAGTCGAAAGAGGGATCACACCTAAAGAAATTTTAAACCAAACAAAGACGGTAAACGAAAGCCAATTGGTAGGGATATAAATACTCTCAACAAAAATCTTTCATATCGCAACCCGTACTGAATTTGAAGTGGACATTTACATTTACACATTGTAACTGAATTGACTTTCATCTCTTAGCTATCAACATTCAATGTCATTCAATTCAAGCGACGCCAGTTTCGGAAATAAATCAAGCATCAATTGGAGACCTAAAGGATCAAAATCACCAGCACCAAACTCAAACTCTGAACTCCCTTTATACTACAAGGATAAAGTTCGTGCAAACCCTCATTCAAAGACATCAAGAAAACTCATCATGCTATTCAAAGGGTTCGTAGCATCCATTGTTTTTTACATAGTGTACTACTATGCCAGCAATTTAGATAAAGACTCGCCATTCCTGATTGGTTCTTTGAATTTCAAATCCTCTTCTACCCAACAGGATTGGTCCGTAGCTCAAAAGGAAGTCAGGGACGTTTTCTTAGACAGTTGGAAGTCGTATGAGACTTATGCGTGGGGAAAGGATGTTTTTCACCCATTGAGCCAATCTGGAGAGAATATGGGGCCAAAGCCACTAGGTTGGATGATTGTAGATTCATTGGATACCTTAATGATAATGGATTGCCCTGAAGAATTAAGCAGAGCAAAGAAATGGGTTAAAGAAGATTTAAATTACAACTTCAATTATAACGTAAATGTTTTTGAAACCACCATTAGAATGCTTGGAGGTTTACTTTCTGCTTTCCACTTGTCTAACGATGATTTGTATTTAGATAGAGCGGCAGACTTGGCCAATGCCTTATTGGGAGGATTCAACAGCAAGACGGGAGTTCCATATTCTCTGGTAAATTTGGAATCCGGAAATGGTATCAAGAATCATGTAGACAATGGTGCTTCTTCTACTGCTGAGGTTGCAACTTTGCAGTTGGAATTCAAGTATTTGGCCAAATTGACAGGTGAAACTATGTACTGGGAAAAGGTCGAAAAGATCATGAAGTTACTTGATGACAATAGACCTCAGGATGGTTTGGTTCCAATTTATGTTCAACCTGATACCGCTGAATATCAAAGCTCTTTAATTAGGTTGGGTTCGAGGGGAGATTCATACTATGAATACCTTTTAAAGCAGTACTTGCAAACCAATAACCAAGAGAAGATTTACTGGGAAATGTACAGAGAAAGTGTTGAAGGAGTTAAGAAGCACATGGTCCGTAAATCAGTCCCCAATGGGCTTACATATATCGGAGAATTAGAAAGAGGTATTGGTGGCCCATTATCTCCAAAGATGGACCACTTAGTTTGCTTTTACGGTGGGTTATTGGCTGTAGGAGCTACTAACGGGTTGACTTTAGAAGAAGCTAAGAAGTTGCCAGATTGGGACCTGATAATGGAATCAGATTTCAAATTAGGAGAAGAATTAACTTACTCCTGTTACAAGATGTACCATGACGTTGATAAGACCGGTCTTTCCCCGGAAATTGTTGTATTCAATGACAAAGAATCAGCTGATGGCAAGGACTTCTTTATCAAGCCCTTGGATAGACACAATTTGCAGAGACCTGAAACAGTGGAATCTCTCTTCTACTTGTACAGAATAACTAAGGATGAAAAGTACAGACAATGGGGTTATGAAATTTTCCAGAACTTCGTCAAACATTCCAAGGTAGTTGATTCCAATGGAATTGTCTCTTACACATCGTTAGATGATGTTACTACCGGAAAGAGGAGAGATAATATGGAGTCCTTCTGGTTTGCAGAAACATTGAAATACTTATATTTATTGTTTGATGACACTAACCAGCTTCCTTTGGATAGATATGTTTTTAATACTGAAGCTCATCCAATGCCTAGATTTGATATGGAGCCTTTATTTAAGACCGGATGGTCCAGATCTTTTGATGATCCAAGAAGAATCAAAAAGAACCCGGAAACACAAAAGGTTGAAGAGCAACAAGTGAAGATAGATAAGAAGAGACCCCCAAAGGCGGCTCCAGCGAACAAGGGTCTAGATGAACAAGCAAATGAAATCGTCAAGGAGAATCCAGATGTCTTAAAGGACAAGGAGGCAATCAACAAGGAAAAACTCGAAGAAATACTCAATGGATGAGGAGGGCTCTGAACGAAAGTCACGAGTAAAATGACAAAATATAAAACATAAGCATAAAATATAAATCGAGGAGCTAAAGCAGAATAGGTCACAAAATAAGTAGCATAAAATAAATATTAGTCGTTCGTGTTGTATGTATATTGATGTAATAGTGCTAGTGGAGTATGTACATAAATGCAGGTACAAAAAGTCAGTGCTCGATGTTTCAGAGTGTTGATTAGCCAGTAAAACTTTACACAACTAAAAGACAATTCATTCTTGAGTAGAGTCACCTGGTACACAATACTCTCCCACTATAGCTTCCAGCTACACCGAGCCACACAACAATCAGCTGAACCTCTCCACAGAGCAACTGCTCCCCAAGCCAGAGACATGAACGCCCTCAAAACACGTGACCATGTCGCCTTATAAATCCTTTTTAGTTCTCAACTGAATTTTCAGGATTTCATGACGTCAACCCAGCAGTGCGAGTGTTTTTTTTTTTTTTAACAACAGTATTACTCTTTGCTAACAGTCTCCTCTTCAATTCAAGCACTGAGCATAAATATTGCCAGAGGTGACCCCGGAGCTTATATATCGCAATGTCTAGTGAGGTATGTACATTGTAATTCAAGAAAACAAGAACTTAGAATTGGTTCAGCTGAACTTTTAGTTAAATATGAGTTTCCTCAGTTGGATGACATCATGACAGAAAAGTTGCTCTATCAGAGTTCGTGTCCTAGATCTACGCATACAGATCATTCCAATAGACGGTATTTAAATCCACTGATCTTGGGATGTGTTCAAGCTGCGCTGAGTATAGCTCATACTATTACAGTCTTTACCATGGCTCCCGTTTTTATTAGTAATACTCTACCCCCTGTTGAACAGGCTTCTGCAGGAGGAGCGAAACCGCAGATATCTTTTTTCTTATTATGTAACTCTGTTGATTTTGCATAGTATAACATCGTTGTTACTAACACCAATTTGCAGCTGAAAACTACTTCGTTCGATCTTGAACCCAACCCTTTTGAAAGGTCTTTCGCCACTGAGAAGGAATCACCTAACAATGGAACGGGAAGCAATAGACACAACCTTAGAATACCAAATATTTCTAATTTGAACCTACCTTCAAAACTCCCAGGAATAACTCCAACTGGGTTTACTTCCGCTGACAGGAAGTTACCTCCATTGTCTCTTTCGCCAGGTGGCACTTCTGCACCAGGGACTCCGGTAAGCATGTGGAACAGTCTACTCAGTGCGTCGAATCAAAATCAGAATTCTAACCAGGGTCATGGTCAAGTACAAAACCCAAACTCAAATGCTGGCCAAAACCAGATTCAGAATTCTAATCTTAATCAAATTCAAAATGGCAATACAAACGCAAATGTTATCCAAAATCACCAGAAGACGCCATCAGTTGGAATGACAGCTACTCCTTCAGTTAATATCCATCAAAATGCGCCAGGAAATGACCAACATTACAACCAGAACTTCAACCAATTTGTGAGTAATCTCAGGAAAACAGGATTAACTCCCAACGAGTCCAATCTCAGATCAGGCTTGACTCCAGGAGGAGCGGGTGGCTTCCCATTTGGCAATCAACTTCCCGGTCTTACTACCCCTAGTGCGTTGCTCAACAGTCCTATGACACCAGGGTTATCGAGTTTGTTAGGTATTACTCTGAATCAATTGAGCAACGCTAATAATAATGCACACCATCCGATTCAGCAACAGCAACAGCAACAACAGCAGCAGGTTCCACCCCAACTTCCACCTCACCAAGCTAACCTTCAAGGCAATATGATTCAGGCACCTATTATGAATAATTCTGGAATCATTAATAACATGCCTAGTACTATCAAGGAGAAGTCGGAATCAAAAGTTTCTAAAAAACTGGAGAATTCAAAAGAGCCTGGTGCTGACTCTAATACCTCTGCCCCTACTTCTAAAAAGAGGAAGAGCAATGCTGAAAAGACCACCGCTAATAAGAAGAAAAAGAATGAAGTCAAAAAGGAAAAAGCAAATCTGGAAATTGATTCAAAAAGTAAAAAGAAGAAGCCTGAAGAGGATAAAGAAAATGACAATAACAGTATTGAAGATGATGAAATAAATGAGGCTACGACGGAAGAAGAGAAGAGAAAGATCTTTTTAGAGAGAAATAGAGTTGCTGCATCGAAATGTAGACAAAGGAAGAAGCAACTTGTTCAGAAAATGGAAGATGAACTCTCGTTTTACTCTACTGGATATAGAGAAGTTTCAGCTCAAATGTCACAGTTGAGAAACCACCTTCTCAATTTGAGATATATTATACAAGGTCATAAAGATTGTCCAGTTTTTCTTAATTCTGTTGGGGGATTTGAAAATTTCAATAACATAATCCAGCAGACAAACTACTTATGCGAAGTGACAGGAAATTCCGCAAATGTGTCATCTATTCCAAGTACTATCCCTACCGTTTTAAATGCAGATCATCCAGCAGTCGGGCTCGCACCACAAGCAGAACAACAGGGACAGCCAATGCAACCAATACAACAGGGTCAGCCAATACAACAGCAGCCACAGCAACAGCAAGTTCCACCCCCCAACGGCTTAATACAATCTAATCCTTCCACGATTCAAGACACAGGATCCTCACAATCGGGAGACAATGAAGTTGCTTCGCACCAGAGTCTCCCAGAGGTATCGCAAAATGGGAACAGCAATGTAGGCGACAACGGATACATTAGAAACATAAACTCAATGACCAACATTGCGTCCGCTAATAATCAAAGGGTTTCAGGAAATGGTGGAGTTTCTGTGGAAAATGGGGATTTTTCGTTGAGACCGGTGGTGAGCATGATAGACTTACAGAGCCAAGCCCAAGTGCAACCTCAGGCGAATAGAGATAGCCAGCAGCCAACAAATGGGTTTGATCTCAATCAGCCCAACGGGGTAATACAGATGACGCATCAGTAGCATTAATATTTATAGGAAAGGAGAATTACAGTGAGCTTACGAGGTCTACATGGATATGTGATCTGATAACAATGTAGTTTGCTTCTATTCTTCCGTTCTCTATTTTATTTTGTATTTTTTTTTTCTCTTAACGGCTGCGAATCTTCTCGACCGTGCATATGGTGCAGAAATGACAATCTACCCCTACGCGCTTTTTTGTTAGAAGAGAGAATTGGAGTAAAGGTGAAGAACAACACCAATCTGAAAAAGAAAAAAGAAACCAATGGAAATGCCTCTGATGGTCGATAATTCCTGTGCCTAACATGAGTGAAAAAAAAAAAAGAGAAAAGAATGAGACGGGCAAGAAAACACATTCCAGCAGGCTGAGGTCCTTTGAACACTGGAAAAATGGTGCTTCTACCTCAGCCTTTGTCTCGTATTGCGAGGTACCATGGCTTAACTGTAGATCGAAATTACTGTATCCTAAAAAATAACGAAACAAAGTGATGTGACTTTCAACGCGCCTGCATGTAATGTCGCTTAACGAGATGGAAGCCTTTGAGGCTCAGTACATCCTGTCACTTCTTTTTTGGACCATCACTCTGCCCATCCCAGCCTCGAGTGTTTCCAATTCATTACAATAACACCTACAGAATATTACGCAAGCTTGAGATTTAAGGAATAAGGAATAAGGTACTACTATAACTAAAGATTGAAGAACCACCCATAAAATTACAAATGGAAGAAAGTACTGCTGTTCTAAATATTAAGCTTCGGTATCTTCGGGCTTTAAACTTTCCAGTTTCCGTCCTTCCATTTCTTGCTCTTAGCAAATTTTTTTTTTCGTGCGTTCTTAGTATTATCCTTTTTTTCTATTATTTTTTTTTTCGCATATCAAACACAAAAATCCAAATAAAAAAAATCCACGCTGCGCTCTCTGCTTCTTCTTTCACCTGCATACGCCAAATCAAATCAAAACAAAGTTCATACGTAGATAGATTTCAGTTTTGATTTGGAGCCTATTGATTTGATTGCAGACAAGATGGTACTTGACTATAAGATGGAGCTACCCTCACTACCTCCTCCTCAGTCACATTACCGCGGGAACCTGACTGGGCTGCTGTCAGTGGGAACGCAGCTGGACTATAACCATTTACTGGCAAGTCGACATACCATACAGAGCGGACAGCTGCTAATTCAGGAACATCAACTTACAAGAAAGAACTTGAAAACTTTACTTCATGTTATAACGGGAGAATTGAAGGCTAGAGGAACTAAAACACCACATATTTTCTTACCATTTAGATCAAGAATAGATGACTCGAAATTGGAGATGTTTTTGATCAATCTTTTCCCCAATGGAATCTTGACTCACCACGAATATTATGTGCCATTGTTGAAAAAAACGGATGAGTTTACCTTGGTGTGCTCCTTGAAGTACTTATGGTGCAGGTTACCTAATAACGAAGTAATCGGCTGGGATGTGTACTTGGAATATAAACGTAAAGAGAAGGCTGCTGGGTACCCTAGAAACGCGTTTCTTTCCATTATGCCCAAGTGCTTGTCATCCCCTGCACATGCCCTGATTGTCTACGACTTTTTGGACTTGTTGATTAGCGTGGCTTCAAACTCACAGTATAACTATTTGAGTGGGAGAAAAATCTGTAAAATGGCTAGTTTATGGGCATTCAACCTGTTGGTTAAATCACAGCAACTGAAAAATCACCTGCTGCTGCCATTTTATGACGCCACGATAATGACAGACAATAATTTTATCGAAGGTTTGGACTCGTGGAAGCAAACTAGCAGTGCTCTTTTCCATCTTTTGCTCTCATTTTTAAGAGCCATGTTACCTGACAGTGAACAGGAGACATTAAAATTGCCCAAAACTTTGCAGTCTTTGTTAATAACTAATGCCTATCCACCATTAGACAATTCAGATTCCATCAAGTCATTAATAACCATCCCCTGTGTATTAGTAAGGTCCACCAAACCGTCTAAGACTGCATTTGAAATGCTTAGTAAAGTTAGAAACACAATCTCCTTTGACAAAAAGGATGCATTTGTTTCTGTAGAAAATTATACCATTTTGAAGAATATCTTTAGAAAACAATCGACAAATGAAATTGTTTCCACTTTAACTGAAGAATCCAGAAGAATCCTTAATAGAATAACTGCAGAACCTATACAAAGTGATTTTGGAATATATCCAGGTTGGGTTAAACCTGAAGACAGTGAAGACAATCGTAGGCAATATGAATATGAGGGAATTGATGACGACATACCCTTGATATCACAGATAAACATTATAGACGTGACACTTCAAGACTATTATATATGGACATGGTTATCGTCTTTATCACTGGACCAATGTGTTCCAAATAAAAAGTTATTTGGTAGATCTTTAGTAGTAGAGGCTGGATTAAAAGGTTTTGAAAAATGGTTAATTGTAACTGAAGAATTGATTACTCCGAAGGAATATTATAAGAAGTTTAAAACTTTGGATTTTCCTAAAGTCCCACCTAAAAAGGTTCACCCTGATACCTCATCTGATTTAGATTCAAATACATCTGGTGATGAACGCCATGCTCACAGCAAAAATGCTGTTAAGCGGATTCCAACGGACTATAAATATCTGTCCCTACTCCCTGAACTTCCACCTGCTGATAAGCGACTGCCTGCAAAAAGTAATCCAGAAGATGATTATGATTGGAATGGGATGTTACCTGCAATTAATTTCACTGAGGATGATTACAAGATTGAAGTTCCGGGTATGGAGAGGTTGAGTTATGATTTTGAGGCAAAGAACAACATACTGTCACGAAAACCACAAGCTAGGGAACAATCTCAAGGTCAATATGGACATCACCAAGCACATCAATATGATACTCAACACGGACATCAACATGGACACCAACAAGGATTTCACCCAGCCCATTCAGTAGCGAAACCTCTCCCATCTCCATCTAACGAAAGAGAAGCTTCTCCGCCTATACCTCCGAAATCGCATGGACGTCCACCTCCTCCTGCTATTTTACCCAATGAATCAACTTCTCCCCAAAGACATCAAAATGATTCAAATGCATTGCCTAGTCAACCAACCCAATACCTCGCCCCTAACCAGAATTCTACTTCTCCTATAAGGACAAGCACTCATACTCAGTACTATTCTCCTGAAAATCGACACTCACAGAATGAACCGATAGTTGAAAACTTGAATTACGAAAATGAAGCGGAGAGGAAGCATCTTTCTCAGGAACAAGTCAGAGGCGAAGATCTTAATGGTAAACACTATATTCCCGGATCAGCCGTAGAACCAAAATATGAAAAAGAACCAACTGTCGAGAAGTACATTCCAAGTGCATCTATGGGCGATACTTCCCACCGTGGTAGAAAACATGATGAGAAACCACCAGTAAATGGTGTGCATGATCATCTGTTGTCACCTTCGAGGGGTAAAGATCTATCTCCTGAAGAATTGGCTGCCAAAAAGGAAAGAAGAAGGAAACGGAGAGAAAAGAAGAAGCGGGAAGAAGCTCAAGAGGCATCAAGAAGGGCAGACCAAGAAGGATACGTGATACAAGAGGAAGGGAAATTATCGACTAGATCCACTTCCCCCAAAGACAAAGAGTCAAGGAGGAGGGAAAGAGAAGAAAAAAGAGAAAAAAGAGATTTAAGAGAGAAAGAAAAAATGCTTGCACGAGAGAGGGAACGTATCAAAGAGTTACCTCCAATATCGCCTAAACCTAACGAACTTGTTTCAAAGCAAGCAGGTCAGGTTGCAGCTTCTCCAGACTTGCAGCAAGCTCCATTTCCAGTTCCTTCGGGAAATTCCCATTTACCTCCACCATCACAATATCCAAATGGTAGACCAAATGGAGCTCCACATCCAGCATATCCACAACCTAATGGGTATGGATACCCTCCGGCTCAAGGATATCCAACTGGATATCCAGCTGGATATCCAGCTAACTACGGAAGGCCCCCAAATTCCTCTTCACCTACTCTTGCTCCTCCAAGTGCCTCTCCTGTTTCGAATCGTACACATTCTCCAGTTGATCGGAACCAGTCTCCTCAGGATCCAAGAGGTAAAGCTTCACCCATTCCAGGTCATCATCCTGCTAACCCAGTTCCACCTCCAGGAACTCAACATCCAAATGGTCACCCACCACAAAATGGAGCTGCAGGGCCACATTCTGCGTACACATCACCACAACAAGCCAATCCAGCTGCTTTCCCTCAATACCCAGGGTACCCACCTCAGGGATATATGTATCCTCCACCTCAAGGTTACTATCCCCCACCGATGGGTTATCCGCCTATGGGATATCCACCTATGGGCTACCCTCCAATGGGCTACCCTATGGGATACCCTATGCCCCAACCACCCAAGTCCCCTGAAAAGAAAGAAAAACCAAGTTCCACTGATGTTGCTATGAGAAATATGCCACAGGGACACAAATTCAACAAGAACAAGCAGCCAAACAAAGTTGGTTTAAGAAATGCATTTAATCAAGGTGGATTCGGTATATAACCTAAACTTACACGAATAATGAATAATAAATAATTTTTTTCTTAATAAATAAAGAGGAAATTGTAAAGTAAACTTTCGTAGCCCATGAGTTATAACTAAAGGGGATACCACTAATACTCACTTAATCTGAGCTTCTTTCCAATGTCTCTTAAGGAGAAGCCGCTGTTATTTCTGTTCAAATATGGCGGCTCTGGACTTGGACCTCTTGACTTAATGTCGTCATCTCCCATATCAAAGTATCCATATCCACCCAATAATGTGTGTAACAGCAGTTCAGTCTTAGGAATTGGTCTTGCTGCTTTAGGTACTTCAATTTTCAACTTTTCAATTGCACTAGGAACAACAGGTTTGGAATTTACCTCAAGGAAAATCCTTTCAACTTCATTCAAGTAAGATTCCAAAGTAACTAAAAATCTTTTTGTTTGTCTGTGCTTTGAAGCAGCACAGATAGATATCAGATCATCTTTTATAATATATGCTAATCCGAACCCATTTGCCAGAACAGGTCCAAATCCAAACAAACGAAGAGAGGGGTTACCACAATTCGAAGTAGATATGATAGTATTGTTCAATCTATCCCAACCTGGATCGGCAAAGATTGATGGTAATACCTTATATTTAGAATCACCACCTAAAAGAGTTTCATCAGATGAAGCAGATTGGGTATTACCTCCATTGATTGTCAGAATAGAATCCTCTCCCTTGAGGGCTGTAGCGCTCATCTCTTCTTCGTGCTCTTCTGCTTCTGAAACATACCTCTTCCAAATGCAGAATAACGCATATAAGTGCCTATCTACCCCATGTCCAGAGGCAGCTTGCTTGGTTTGATCTGAATGCTTATTACAAGCACCCAGTAAGTATTTCAATTTTTCAGAATTGGACACTTGCAGATCAAAAAACTTTCTAACAAATAAGTTTGATTCTTGTGAAACTGACCTAACAGCTTCTGTCCTCCCATGGAAAAACTGCTTTGTCATTGCAGGTTCATAAGTGCATTCAACTTTTCCATATAAGGCATAGTAAGTAGCTTGAAATGCCATCTGTACAAATGCATCAGGACTGTATTTCATTTTTTTGATAGTAGAAGATCCGTATCTCTTAAATTCCAAATGTTTAAACTCATTTTGGTTAATTAAGTCAGAAAGTCTAGTTTCCCCAAATCTAAGTGCCAATGATAAATCTGGAGTAAGCTCCCACTCTAATTTTCTTGGGATAGTAACATATTCAGAGCCTCCCACACTACCGGCTCTAGCTCTGGATTGTTGTATCTTATTGTCCTGTTCCCACAAAGAAGGTGAATTCCCATTAATCAATTGGGCAAATGACAAGATTGAATCTGTATAAATATCACTAACAAATCTTAAAACTGTGTGGCCATCAACTCCAGTGTGTTCAAAATTGATACCTGCTTTTCCATTTTTAGTAATAATGATCTGAAGTTTATCATACCATCTATTAGTACAAGTCCCGACTTGGACACCTTTGTCTAAAATAGATAACCCACATAACATATTCTTGGCCAAGTCCGACAAATCTTCTAATGCTAAATCATCTAGACATAAAATAAAAAGAGACGAATCAACAATAGATAAGATTTCTTTGTTAACCTCATTGTCGCAAATGGCCTTCGAGCTCCTGATCTTAGCCCAAATTCTTCTATTCTCTGTTGTTAACACCCCAAAACTGGACTTAGCGATCTCATCATTGGGTGATTTTAATGAATCATGAATAATCGAGGTAAAATTCACACATAATTCATTTTCCAGTAGAATGATGTTGTTGTCATTGTCCATTACGTCAAACCAATAAAATTGCGATTTACTCATCACCACTAAATGGTTCGACTTTGGGTCCGATTGAAGCAAGCAACCATCATCAGTTGGAATTCTGGAAGCTCCGAATAACTTGGAGTATTGGTACATGCACAACGGTTGTCCGTTACGAAGTTTGTCCACCGGTAATGTCTCATTTCTAAGAGCTCTAATGAATTTTAAGGACGACAAGGTCAACGAAGCAGCTCTTTTCACCTGAGGATTTAAAGTCATAGATTCATTATGGAATGGATCATCTTCCAATAGGAAGAAAGGATTCAAATTTAGAACAACAGGAGAATCGTAGTTTAAATAAGAGTCGTACCAAAACTGTTCAATGTATGAATTTCTAGATTCCCCATACTTTCTAAGCTCTGAATCCAAGTATTTCCCCGTACCGTCCTTCAAGAATTGCTGAACAGCTTCTACCGTCCTTTCATACTCCTTTTCTGTTTGAAGGGGCTTTAATACTTTAAGGTAGTTGACACAAGTTTCATCAAGGGGAGGTATTGGTAACTTTTTTAATGTGCTTTGGTAAGATAATGTGCTCATTTTTGAAATAGATATCTCCAGCGGAAGGAACTGAAGTGGATTCAACTAAGAAGGGAAAACGAGAATGTACAAAGTGCTCGATGATAAATAAAATAAACAACGCAAAATGAAAGGCAATTCAATAAAATGTGATACTCAATGAATGTAAAGTTGACTTTCTATCTATATGAAGTGGCAGGGCCTATCAAAAAGTGAACTGAGTAAAAAAGGGATACATGCTACATATATATATACTCCGGCCCAAATGATCCACTTGCGTGCGCGAAATTACTAAGGTAATCGGTGTGAAATATTCAGACCCCACAAAAACTTTTCAGCCCCACTAGAGTCCCCCTTGGCATCATGTATTAACTAAAATGAGAAAAAGGTGCACGACACAACAGGGTAACACACTTATCTGATTGCGCACGTCCGGAAATCTAGGAGACCAGAGCAAGAGTACTCTTCTATTGGCCTCCAGCAGTTATCTTGTATAAAATTTCCAAGAATATCCTAGGGGCAGGATGTTCGATTGCTTCGGAAGGCTGGGGCCGCTGAGCATAAACTTCCAATCTCCGTAGTATTTGTTTTTTTCTCATACTTAATTCAGAAAATCCGGGGAACAAATTGCTTTAGTGCAGGATCCAGAAGCTAATTTTGATGCTTTATATTCTAAATGTGGTCACATTGTGTTAAAGTCCGAAACGTCGATCTTTTCTATTGGTGGATCGGAAACTTCACTTGTCATAGGAACAGCTCCGAAGCTCCGAGTTATCTTTAGGTTTGCCAGAGTGTTACAATCCGTGGGTGGTTATTGGCCGGAGTCAATGCATGCACAGACTCTGTGCTGTGTAAACATCGAATGGTTTGAAACATTCCACATAGCCAATCATACTGAAATCTGGGGGAACGGGAGGAATATTCTTACGCTTTTTGGATGCTTACATGGCAATACAAATCTTCGTAGTCCAGTTCAATTACAAATTGAAAGTTTTGCATTCTTAGTCTTTATTGAACATCCCTGCATCTAGTGTCCATTCGATCTATTTAATCTATATATTTTGTAATACTCGTTTCCCAATCATATTGTATCAGGAGATACTGCGTTATTTGTTAGGCGAGCGAGAGGAGAAATGGTTAAAAGACGTGAAATGCTATCTATTCATGTTTCTTTCAAACTCTATATGCTGGCACATTTTTTTGATTTGAAAACACATTAGCCTAATATCCCCACGCTTCTCCTAATTTTCTCCAGTAGTCTGCTACCCCTTCTAAGATCAATTTTCCCTTATTATCTTCATGACCTTTCACCCCATTCATAACTGTCAATGGGCCTGTCTCCTGGAAATCATGGCCAAATCTGTCTCTCAATTCGCGTATCATGTTAATGTCTTGATATCTATCCTGAAAAACTTCATAGTTTTCACACATAGCGTACTCCGGAATAAGTTGGTGGTGCAATCTAGGATACGAGATTGCCTTCAATAATGGGATATTGTCGTAGTAAATATTGACGAGGGCTTGGAAGATTGCTGTGGTGATTCTTGAGCCTCCTGCTGCTCCAATAACTAATGAAGGAACGAGCTGTGTTCCTTGCTTTGTCATGACAATAGTTGGGGAAGTCGAAGAGAGTGGTCTCTTCTTTGGTTCGATAAAGTTGTATATAGACGGAGTTAAATTGAACGCGTTAGGCGAATTGGGTACTGAGAAGTCATCCATTTCATTGTTCAAGATGATACCAGTTCTATTGTCGTATACTAAGGATCCAAACAACAAATTAACAGTAGTCGTCATTCCGACAGCATTTCCTGATTTATCCACAATAGAGAAATGCGACGTTCCATGTGGCTCAGTCAATTCATACTTTGGCTCATAATGTTGCCATGGGAAGGTTCGGTTGTCGGAATATTTGGATTCTATTGTTGATTGTGACCAATTTAATGATGAGTATTTATCGATGAGATCTTGGCGGAATGTTTTATTTGAACTAGAGTCCTTGTGAACCAAAAAATCTCCAAAGTTGGATCTTGCAGATGCCATCCATTTCATACTCTCAATTGTTCTATGGATTTTAAGTGGTACGTCAGAAGTCGGAGATTTATTATGAAGTGTTGAAAAGAAATTCAAAGCAGTTATAAGTGCAAGCCCAGATGAAGATCCAGAGGATGTAAATAGACTAAACGACTCTTCTTGTGAGCTATTGAAGTCGAACTTGAGCGCTTTTTCCACTGAGACTTGATAGTTGGCGAAATCTTCCCTGTCTATCCAGCCACCAAGGCCATTGATCACTTGCACCAAGGACTCAACTATGGGTCCTTTTGGATCATAAAAAATGTCAGACGATCCACTTTTAGCTATTAATTCTAGTGTGTTGGCTAAACTTTCTCTTTTAATAATATCATCTTCTTGTACAAATTCATAGTTATCTTTGTCTTTAAAGATGAAATCCCACGTATTAAAGATGCTGGTTAGCTTCAAAATTGGAACGTATGTCTCTAGGGACTTCAAAGCTTTAGCTACCACTCTACCAGTTCTAAAACCCTTTCTATTCAATTCAATAACTGGCTCGAAAAGTTCGTACCAAGATACATTCTTAGAACCATGTCTTTGGTAAAGTTCGTACAAGCCTTTCAACTCTCCGGGAACAGCTACTGCCAATCCACCAAACTTCGAAAGAATCTCCCTCTCTCTGTACATTTCTTTGAATGCAGACTGAGGTGCCATTTCTCGTGCATCGATAGATATGACATCATTCTCGAAGGAAGAGGTAATATACCCACCACCTCCAATTCCAGAAGAGTGCAGATTAATACTACCGATACATAGCGCTACAGTAACTGCTGCATCTGCAGCATTGCCGCCCTTGCGAAGGATGTCACCACCCATTTGCGAGCAGATGGGGACGTCACACGAGATCATTGCTTTTTCTCCAATATGTAAGTGAGATGCATTAGGAGACAACGTAGGGTAGCCCAAGGGTTCGCCTAGGGGATCCCTCGTTATCTGCATGTAACTGGACAAGACGTGATCTGGAGGGTACGAAAATGGCCTTTGATCGCCGAGTAATGGTATCGACCTCCAGCTGATGAAACAGTAAGTTAAGATCACCAAGGACAATAAAATATTGACTAGTCTCCTATTGGGAGAGAAAATTCTCAGGAGGGCACCAGTCTTGGGTCCAGCTTGGTGCTTTTCGTCAATCATAGCGAAGTCGAAGTCTAAAGCTGGAGCGTGCTGTGAGTTTTAGCGTGTTGTCAGAAGTATCAAGCCCTTTGTAATCGGCGGACCTTAAGTATCGGAGTATTTCTGTGGCTTACTCACTTATCGTGGAACTATGTGCCGGAGTCTGCATATGGCCAGCTGGTCGCGCGAGATAAAGAGTTTGGTGCGCTACTTGGGCATACGGGCAGCCACCACAACCACATAAAAGGAGAAGGCAAGAGCAAGTGTCAAGTGCATTGAAGTAAAAACAAACGACAGGGGCCAGCAAACGAGTTTAGGTCAGTTTTAATCTCAACTAGCCCATATGTCCACAATATGTCTTCTTTTTTTTCTCTTTTTCTGCAAAGAGGATATCCAATGGCCCCATTGCGCTAGTAAGAACGGTAAGGTATACTGCCGCACTCGATCCGTTAATCCACTAATTCACCATTTATGTTTTCCTACTCTATAGTGTTTCACCTTTTCCATACTTCTGTATACTTTCCTAATCCTTAGTCCTATTCCCATTCATGTGACTGCGTCAAAATTTCAAAAGATACAATCAGATCTCGATCTGTCTTCCGTACTAAACTTAAATGGGTCGCCCTGCTCTCAGGCCACTAGTATTGTTTGACGCACTATGCACTACTCCATCTCAGCTAACCTTATTGAAGGCATGGCGGGCGGAACTCAGTTGAGCCCAACGGCGTTTTCGCATTCTTCTAGAAGTGAGCATTTCTACTTTCTATGCAGCCCACACTGCTATTTGCAAGTGAAAGCGAATGCTAAGCACAGCGTTAGTCAAAAAATAAATTAAAGGTGAATTCTTTAAAAGAGGGGGTTATCTACAGAATTCGGCTCATCTCATCTCATCTCATCGCATCTCAGTCCGCTTCTCTTGCTAGGGTTGAAATATCTAGTCTAACCTAATCACACCTCATCTCAAGGTTGCAAAATTCATTGAACATTTGCAATAATGCCACTCTTCAGGCACTCCAAAAAGAAAGATGTTTCAAAGAGCTTCGAAGAGCTAAACATCACCCCGAGCCGTAGCAATGCCAGTCAGCTAAGCTCGTTGGCACCTTCGAGATCAAGTTCACCCGTTCTTGTGCCTACGGCCACGCCGGTGCCCAAGCGTGCACCCTCATATTCCTTGGCTTCATCTACTTCCCCAAGTTTCACCAATCTCATGCCCGTTTCCTCTAAAGAAGAAGATAAGGAAATTTTGAATATTTTACCCTCCTATCATATGTACAAATCGACTGTGTCGAGAAACTTAACACCTTCACAGGAAAACTTCAAGATCGAACCGCCAACTTATGAGCTAACTCCTTCTAATTCTGTTCCACAATCATTGGTGACCTCGCCATTACAGAGCCCTCCTAACGAACTTGAATATACTGATTCATTTCATCAGCCAGTAGTAGATACAGTAAACGAAGCAGCTGACAACTTATGGGAGAATACTATCTTGGCAAATGCCCATAAATTGAAAAATTTGACCGAGACTGATAACAAGATTTCCAATAACTTGGACATTAACATTCACGTCACCGAAAAAGTGTGCCAAAAGGGTGTAGAGCCCATTCACATGGATCCACTGTCGAGAGAATTTCAACAAGGTGATTATATTCATGGATACGTCACCATTGAAAATAAATCAAAAATCCCTATTCCCTTTGATATGGTTTATGTAGTCTTTGAAGGTTCTACAATTGTGTTGGATACAAATGTTAGTGGAGTGTTGGATACCAAGAAACCTAAAACTGTTTATAAATTTTTGAATATGATTGACTTGTTTGCTTCATGGAGTTATGCTAACATCGATAGACTTGTTAGTGATAACGGTGATCCTCATGATTGGTGCAACGGAGAGACTGACCCCTACGACAATACCATCTTGGCAATAGATGTTAATAGGATATTTCAACCTAATATCAAATATAAAAGATATTTTACCTTTAGAATCCCTGATAAATTATTGGACGATGCCTGTGAAATGCATGACTTGACGAGACACCAAGAAGTGCCTCCCAGTATAGGAAAGACTAGAAGTGCTGTGAGGACGATTTTTGAAGAAACGGGAACAAACCCTGTATCCATCAAAGATTTTGCTCCCATTGATACATCAATATCATACAGTATTGATGCTAGAGTAATTGGGAAAGCTTCAGACTATGAATTCAAGTCGACTAGCTCAACAGGTGATGAGTATATTGTTGCCAAGGATGTCTCTGTACCCATAAGGATAGTCCCCTTACTGAATTCAGAAAGACAGCTGCAATTGACTGTCAATAGAGAGGAAACTCAATTGTTTTATAGAGCATTTGTGGACTGTGTCAAGAATAAGATAAATCTAGGAAGGGAATTACTAAATTTGCAGCCAATCTTAAGCAATTCCACTAATGAAAATGGTGGTACTGGATTTGCAGGTTTCCCCGACTTGACGCCCATGAATTCTATGGATAATAATTCATTTATTAAAATTAGACAACTTTACGACGCTTCAGCTGGCTTAGATTCTAAACCAGTAGTCTTGAACTTGAAAGTCCCGAGAAAATCTGTAAAGGATCAACAATATCAAAGTTTTTTGACCTATAAAAAGAAATCTTTAACTGGTTTATCCAAATCCTCTGGCATTTTGTCTTTAAGTACCCCAAAAGCAGAGTATAGGATTTCGTACCGACCACCATTGAAATACAGACCAAAGGTAATAGAGCCTAGAAATAATGTTCACGTATTATCAATACCCATGGAACTACAATTTCTTGTGGAGAACGGAAAATCTACTTCTTCTTCCTCCACTTCTTCTGCTCATGCATCGTTACCGGAAATCAAAGAGATTACAACTGAACTCACAGTCTTTACCGTTAGGTCAAAAAAACACCCGATTCCTGTTGAATTAAGTCATGAAATGCTATTCAATGATCAAGAAGTTGAAGGCAGTAAAGCGCTGGGAAATGATAATTTTGACACTATTGTCATAAGAAAATTTCAAAGTTATCTTCATGAAATGACTGATTTAATTAAGAAAATTGGCCCCGAAATCTACCTTGTTGAGAATAGACTTTTCAATGACTTAAAGAGTATGGCATTTTTGAATACTAAGTATATCAATTTGTCTATCAGTGACGTCACTGTGAGCACCTCTCAAAGTGGAGGCACTTCAAGTAAGAATTTGAATACCGTACCCTGGCAAGAAGGTGAGGGATCAGACATGACGGAACATCAAGGGTACACTCTGTACTTTAAAAGGTTCAATCTTAATATTGATACATCCAAGGCATATTTCAAAGGGATGGCTAACAATAGTAAAACAGAATCATGCATCTTACCTGACTTTCAAAGCTGCTTGATAGCAAGGTTATATTATTTAAGAATATGTTTTAAGACAAGTACAAATCAAACTCTCACAGTTAATGTTCCAGTTGTGGTGGAGAACTTAGGAGGAGTTTAGACTAAACGAATAATCAAAAAATGAGAAATGAATAAGCAAATGAAGAGCAGAAGAGTATCAAGTGCATAGACCTGAGTAAACTGGATTTATAGGTAAAAAATGAAGATCATTTGGTACTTATATATAATAGGAAGTAGAAATAGAAATAGAAATAAATCTGAAAATTTGAAGATGTGGGGTCAAAAAAAAAATTCAACAGTAGAAATTTTGTTCACAATCACAATGGTAACTCCACCATTTAGGGAACTATATGCCCAGAAAGACAAATCTAAATGAAAGAAGTACGACAAGTTTCGATTTCAAAGAATGACATCGAAGGCATAGGAGATAAATCCAATCAATACTGTGACCAGGATGGTATAGCTTCTACTTTAGATGAAGATATCATTCTCAATATTCTTCCTTCGTACCATATGTACCAAAATCAGATTTCTCGTAATTTGATTCCCAGTGCTGATAATTTTAGAATTCGTCCACCAATTTATGAAAGAGCATCTTCTAATTCTGTTGTAGGAGCTGAAAGTAGCTCTGAAAACGAATCAGCCTTGTCAGATCAAGTCTCTCCAAGGGCTGTTGATTATGATACACCAGCTACTCTCTGGGAAGATTCGGTGCTTGCAAACACACCAAAACTCCGTAGGGTATTCAAAGAGTCAGATTCCATAAAGGAAAGCTTGGAATTGAAGATCCAGGTGACTCAAGGTTTAGCTAAAATTGGTCAAAAGCCAAAATATGTGGACCCATTGTACAAGGAATTCCACCAGGGTGACTACATAAATGGGTATGTTACCATTAGGAATACCACAGAGACTAATATTCCCTTCGAAATTTTTGATGTGGTTTTCGATGGGGTGTTGACATTGGATGATGAGCCAGACAAGGAACCCCATGTAACAAAGTTTTTAAATATGCTTGACTTTAACGCTCTGTGGAATGATGGCTTCCTTAATAGATTGACCACAGAAGACAGGAACCCACACGGCCCTTGCCCGGACGATGCATTTGACCGTTTTGATAACACAATGACTCAATTGAGCCCTGATAAGGTATTTGAGCCTGGAGTGACTTATAAGAAGTTTTTCACATTTAAAATACCTCAGAAATTGCTAGATAGTATTTGTGTTCCACATCGCTTAGTGAAACATCTACAGCTCCCACCTACATATGGTACATCGTCTTACGAAACAGCACAGGGAAATTACCCTGGATCCTTAGTTGAGGATTTTAGTGTTAGTGGCACTTCCATAAGCTACTCCCTAAGTGCTAGAGTCATAAGCAAAGCTTCAGAATACCCTTGGCTAACTACCAAAAATAAGAAAGAGAATCCTGATGAATATGTTATTATACAAGAAACCAATTCTTTTTTAAGATTTATGCCTTATAAGAATAGACTTTTCCGTTTGAATCAAGAACTGATATTAGGAGAGAGTAGATTGGTGTACAAAAACATTATTTGGAATATAGAAGAAAAGATCAAAAAATGGGAAAACCTGAAAGAAGTGGTAGATGAAACAGATAAACCTTCAGATGATACTGCCCTTGAACCATCAACGACTAAATTACGTCAGCTTTACCCCAAAGTTGAGACTTCCAGCTCTAACATGTACGAGGTAATTGCAAACTATGTGCGGAAATCTATCTTAGGAACAAAGACTATTGGAGTCTTATCTCTAAGTACGCCTAAAAAGGAATATCAAGTTGATTATTTTCCAATTTTGAAGTATGGAGTCGATCGGGAAAGTCGACTAGAGGTGCCTTTGGAAATAAACTTCATGTACACTGATAATCAAACATTTTCAAAACCTCCAAATATCAAAACAGTCAGAGCAGAGTTGGTGGTGTGCACTATTTCATCCAAAAAGAAGTTGAATATTCCAGTTGTGATTACACATGATATGCTTTTCGAAAATAAGTTCGGTACGAATGATAACTTTGAATCATTAACCATAGGACGCTTCCAGAAATATGCAATGCGGTTGAATTCTATTATTCAAAAAGTTGGAGTACACAAGTTGGATTTGGATCCCAGTTTACTAGATGATGTCAAATGCATTGCAAATTTGAAATGTAACTACGTTAATTTGCATGCTGACAAAGCTGTACAAGTACGTGGAAATAGTGGAGAAAAGCTGCTTGAATTAATTTCTTGGAATACAGATCGGAGTGCTAATGAAATCAAATATACCAAGAAATTTAATGTGTGCATAGATTTCAAAATGTTTAAACATAAAGAAGCTTCAGAGTTTAATCTTGTGCCTGAATTCCAAAACTGCTCCATAGCAAGATTATATTACTTGAACCTTATACTTGACTTGCCCAACGGAAGCAAGTTACATATCAAAGTACCCATTTTAATTCAGAAAGACGTAGAGTAGCGCAAATAATGAACATTTTACATATATAATAATTAAATTGAACTAATACAAATACGACAGCACTAGTCTATGTGTATACAGGTCTTTCATATATGCTTTCTTTCGTTCTCTTTTGTTCAATTAGCCTACCAATAAGCTTATCTATGAATTCCTATTATACATCATTGATCTCCTACTAGACCCTCCTACTATTATTTTTGGTGTGATGATCATCGCGATATGATTTGCTTAGTATGGAAAAAAAATTTTGAAAAGTTTCAATACTGAAGTGTAAACATATCTACACCAACAGAAGTAATTATAGAGATGTCTACTCAACCTGTCGATGCTGAGGACGAGATCCTTAATCACTTCTCAGAATGGGAGAAACGTAGATATGTCCCCGGACCTGGGGAACCCGCCTTGCCTCCACAGTTAACTGACTTTGCTAGCAAGACCGCTGATGACGTAATGAAAGAAATAAATAGACTTCCATTTTTTATGACTGAGTTGGACGAAACTGATGGAGAAGGTGGTGAAAATATGGGAGTTGAAGCTTTGAAGAGCTTGGTGTATGAAGGAGAGCCTATTGATGTCGCTACCAATTTCAAAAATCAAGGTAATGAAAGCTTCAAAGGCAAGCAATATAAGACCGCTATCAATTACTATTCGCAAGGTTTGGAAGTTGAGAGAGGTGAAGAAGGCGCTAAGGATGCTTTAACAGTATCATTATATATTAACCGTGCTGCTTGTGAATTGGAGTTGAAAAACTACAGACTGTGTATTAATGACTGTAAGGCAGCTCTTTCCATCGACCCCAAGAATGTGAAGGCATGCTATCGTTCGGGGCGTGCATTTTTTGCCGTATCAAGATTTGATGAGGCTAAAGAAATTCTTAGGTATGGTCTTGCTCTTGATCCAGAGAATGCTTCAATTGCTGCCACTTTGAAGCAGATTGAAAAAAGAGAGACCACCATTAGAGAGGCTAAACTCAAGAAGGAAAAAGAAGTGAAAGAAATGGAATTGAAGAAGTCGATTTTAGCCAACGCCATTCAATTGAGACATATCAGAATTATCAAGCTGTCTAGGCCAACTGAACTTCTTGAAGATGCTAAAATCAGATTGGAGGATGAGCTTGACCATGAATCTCAATTGATATTCCCTGCTATGCTTGTTTATCCAACGCTTGATGAATTTGATTATGTAGCAAAAATCAGTGAACTTACTTCTCCCCTTGAGTTATTAGAAACTGTTCTCAATAGACCAAAGGAATGGTTCGAAGACCCAAAGCACAAGGATTTTTTGCCCAAAAAATTAGAGTGCTACATGGAAACCGAATCTGGTGGCTTGATTAAATTGGGTAAGAAGGTGGCACTTAACGAAGCCTTGATGGCAGACCAACCTAGTGTGCCATTATTTGACAATAGCTTGAGAATGTACGTTCTTCCAAAGTCGGAATCTCCAGCTTGGATTTCTAATTGGAGCAAAGAAGCCGCGCTTGCTAAAAGAATTGTATAAAGATAGATGAATAAACTGTATATTAGTATATAAATGCATTTGTAATTATGTAGGAAGTTTTCATTTTGCTTCGGGAGACCAATTTGATAAAGACGCACGTCCTCTTTGTCTAGATGCTTGAGACTCAAATATGTCCTCGATGTCAAGGGGAGGTATTTCTCCGAAAATGGAGTCTGGGTTAATCTTTTGTTGCTGCAATAGCACTCTCTTAAGTTGAGGAGTTTCGGCCCAATTTTCAAAAATTCTTTTTTCACGATCATCTTCATCGTCTGTAAGAATTTCTGGCAATTCAGATGGCGCTAACAGCGACTTATTACTCTTACCGGGAGTTTTGTATGGATTGCTTGCACCCGTTGAAGATATTCTACTCTTCTCTGAGTATTTACTTTTCCTTGCAGGAGTAGTTGCGGTACTACGCGAAGAGTATTTGTCGGTTTTTCTTCTCTTATTTTCTTCTTCTACCTCGTTATGTTCAAAGTCAGATTTATATAAGGAAGCCTTGAGTGGAGGCAAATTCGTGTCTAGTTTGTGGTTAACAGCAATCATTATCTTTTGTTTCGGTTTGTAGATCCTTCCTCTCTCTCTATCTCTATCTCTATCTCGCTCTCGCTCTCGCTCCTTGTCTAAATCACGCTCTCGTACAGTGGGGTCCATTTTAGGTTCTTCAGCATGTGCATCGTTCAGAATCTTATCTATCCTCTTTACTGGTGATTGAATAGGTCTATTAGAAACCTGTTGACGTAATGTACCATATCTATTCTTATTTGGACTGAACTTAGGCGGTTTAGTCGGATTTAATGTTGCCGTAAGCAATTTGTTTTTCACTCCAATATCAACTTTCTTCAACTCCGGAAGTTTTGGCTTACTTGTTTTTGCAGCACTTGAACTGGTTGGAGCCATAAGACGATTTATTAAATCAGTCTGCTTGAATACTTCCTTTGGTTTCTGAGGTGTGCCATCTGGGCTATAATCTGATTTTTGAGCCTTCTTGGTTGGTGAAGTCCTAATTGGGGACCTTGGTGTTTTGATTTGAATAGTACGTGTGGGTGAACGTGACCTTGATCTTGACCTAGAACGAGTGATATTTGGAATTTGAGGCTTGAGTGATGGCCTGGGAAGTTCGAGCTCAGGTATTTCAGATTTCTTCAGTATAGTAGTTGAAGGTTTATCTTGCTTGTTATAGATAGAGGAAGCGGGTTCACTAAGAAATAAGTTCCTAGCTCTACGAAGCACAGAGCCTGTGAACCCAATGTATTGATCTTTCTTCTCTGGAGTGGAATTACTAACATTCTTATCATCATCACCATCATTGTTCTTGTCATTATTTTGCTTATCGTTTTCATTCTTCACATTCGTTTCATTATTTACACTTCTCTCGATATGTGTCTCTGTCTCGGATTTAACTACCGGATCGCTTGCTTTGGAAGCATTTCCAATTGTGTTCTCGTCTAGCTTTCGTGGGATTGTGCCCCGTCTACTATTTTCACTAGAGGACTTCCGATCTTGTAAGCTTTCAATCACGGACAGTATACGAGATACTCGTCGAGAATCACGAGACAGAGCTGTGACTGTTACAGGCACAGCTACATTTGTAGATGTCAGTTCATTGGGGGTCAGGTTCTGAGGCCGTATTGATGCCTTTTTGTGTTCATCGATTTTGTAGTGCATTGACGATTTTCTCTTGATTGAATCCAGGAAGTCTCTTTTCTCTCTATTGACTATAGAAGATAAAGGTTCCCTAGTTGGGAGGGGAACGAAGCCAGACTTTCTATTTCTAGGCGATCCCTCTTGAACTGATGATCCAACAGATTGGAACACAGCTTGTGGTATTGACAGCAGTAATGGCTGTGTGCTTGTAGCCGAACTCATGTTTACATTTATCTTCTTTGAGTTCCCTCCAGGAGTTCTAGCAATACTTTTCCGTATAGCAGTCTTTATCTTTTGGAATGAATCATCCATATCTTGTTTATTATTTGCTTCTTCCTCCGCCTCTATAACGTTTGAGCCGACAGGGGAGTTCGTGTGGAATATGGTGTGAGGTTCAATCTTGGAAAATGATAGCTTGGGCGACCCATCTTTAGCAGACGAAGGATAATTTATTGCTGGTTCCACTGGAGAAGACACGGGAGGTGGGGCAGAATCCGGTTCAGGAATAGGTATCTGCTGAAGGTGTATAACACTTGAGAATTCAGGCTGCCTGTGTAATATGGTCGAGAGTTGGCCATTTTCTTCTTCTTCTTCTTCTTCTTCTTCTTCTTCTTCCTTTTCTTCATCCAAGAGGACTTCACCCTCTTCTTTGCGATCAACGATTCTCTCACTCTTGTCGGACCATTCCTTAGGCAAATTGCTGCTGCTAGTACCGCTGCTATGTATCGTTATATAATCTCTAATTGCGTTTCCATTGATGGCACTTTTCATAAATCCATTCAACATATCATAGTCTTCGCTCATCCCATGAGCAAACTTTTCAGAACTAGATAGCACATTTGAATTGACAGTGTACAACTCGTTTGCGACCCACTTAGACGTGCCAGGGACAGGATCCTTTCGACGTCGTCTAGCGGCATCAAGTGCCCAAAAGGTGGATGCCATTTGGGTGGAATATAAGATGCTCCTACACTATATATGCAGCAATATCAACGTATCAGCAGACTCTGTACACCAACCGCTTTTTGATTGTTGTGCATTTAATGTTGTTTGGCACAGATCAATAACAACGGGACTGCAGATAAGCTTTGATCTGTTCCTGGTGCGAAATCATCGGCACTGATGGGCTTTAATTTTTCACGAGGGTAGCGAGGCTCGAAGTGTGCACCTCTAATTGGGCCACAGTACGAAGGAATGGCTCACAGAAAGCATACAGGACCATCGTGACACCGAAGGTGAATTGCAGCGATACTCCTTATCCGAAAAGAAGGTAGAAAATCGATTTTTCACATCTAGGGCGATTCTTGTGCGGATAATAAAGTAATACGGGTAAGCTGGTACGTCAGAAGATCTTCCTTTAACACCACCAGGAAGTGGAAATAACGGCTGCGAAATAGTGCGCAAGATGCGAATTTGAAAGCAAAATAGTGCGTAGAATGCGAATTGGAAGCAAAATTTACGGAGCATGGAACCCATTGCGGTATATTTAAGCAGGTATTTTTTTCTTCTTTTTGCCTATCTAGACCTCATTGAATAAGAAGTAATAATATCGCCTTTACATAAAAAAATATCAGGAAACTGGTAACCATCATTCTTGTTTACCCATAGGAAGTGCAAATAATTAGTAGACTTCCCTCTTTCCGTATTTATGTATATACAAGATATACAAGACCAACGTGCACCTCAACCATTTAAAAGTATTCTCTGCGCCGATCTGGGCTCACCTGTCAAAACTCGCCCATTGTTAGCCTTACTCCACATTTTTCTAGGGTCTCAGGTGTTGGATCCATCACGCCTGCACATAAGTTTTTCCAAGGCGTTATCATAAGTGGTTAATAACAAATCGTCTGAGCAACGGAATCCTCCAGCCCCTCTTCCGTAAGCAGAGACAGCAAGAAAAGGCCAAGTAGGCTGTCTAGGTTCTTTGGCATTGTTAGTCTGGTGACCCCAAAGGATGATCAACAACCCTAAACTCAAAGCTAAATCGAAGGAAGAGAACTCCTTAGAGCCTCTACTCTCTCCTTCCCATGAGGATGTCCCAATGTGGAATATTTTACCGTCATACCAACTTTACCAGTCCACGTTCTCCAAGAATATTCTGCTTTCGAACGAGGATTTAGCATTTGAACCACCAAAGTATGAAGACGCACCAGAACTGACTGACTATTTCTCGGGAGTGTCTCTTCCTCCTACCCAGGACAGAACTATATCTCCAACAGGGTCTCTTAATAGTGCACACTCTACGCCGATCAACGGGATTAATGAAATTCCCACCAGGTATGAAAACTCAATCCATGGCAACTCTCATAAGCTTAAACGTTTGGGACATACCAAATCCTGCTTAAGTATTGCAATGGAAGTTACTAGGAAACTTGGTAAACTTGGAGAAGCTCCAGAGATTATTGATCCCAAAACTGTAGAATTTACCCAGGGTGATACCATAAATGGATTCGTAACTGTAACGAACCAGTCTTCTAAACCTGTCCCATTTAGTATGTTTTTCGTGGTGTTTGAAGGTAAGATATCGGTTCGTAAGCCAGGAGGTGGTGACATCAACGACCCAAAGTATACATTGATCTTCTACAAGTTCCTCAATATGTTTGATTATAATGCTTCGTGGACCCCAGCAGATATTGACTCTACTTTTAATGAAGTTTCGGTTGATCCTTTTGACAATTCAGTTCTTAAACTCAAATTAGACAGGGTTTTTGAGCCTGGAATTAAGTATAAGAAGTTTTTTAGTTTCAAGATTCCAGAGAAATTACTAGACTGTGCCTGTGAAGACCATAATTTGCAATACCATTGTGAAGCTCCTCCCTCAATTGGATTGCCTAGAGATCAGTTCTTATTGGAAGTGAGAAAATTAAGAAGAGGCCAAGGTTCTCACGGAAAGATTCTTCACCAGGGTGATGGGTTAGATGAAGTCATGAAGTCAACTATCAAGGACTTTTCCTTCCCTGATACAGCAATCAGTTACAGTGTAGAAGTTCGTGTTGTAGGGAAGGCATCTGATCATCCTGATGTATTTGATACCACCCAAGGAGATGAGTTTATTATGGTTGAAGAAGCAAGTTGCTTTGTTAGATTCGTCCCCTATGAAAGAATCAACAAAGGAATTGACAAAAAGCAATTGCTCAGAGAATCTAGGTTGGTTTATGAAGATCTTGTCAAAAGAATAAGGGAAGTCATTGATTTGGGGAAAGAGTTGGCAAGTCTTAGAGATCTAACTTTATCACCAATTTTAAACTCAAAACCTACTTCATCCTCGTCTTCATCTTCAGATGTGAACATTCAAAAGAGGCCACAGCTATACAGTAGTAAAAGTGAAGAGCTTTCACTGTTGATTGCTAAGAGTGCAGATTTGTATGAAGTATCTACAAATTGTTATAAGAAGCAGATTTCAGCGCCGAAACTCCTTGGTGAGTTCATAATACAAACCCCAAGATTTGAATACACCTTACCGTATCAGACTCCTCAGCGATTCACATCCTTTTCGCCCCAGCCTTTAATCAAGGGAAATGGGGGTATAAATATCCCATTAACGTTCATATTTAAGCCAGCGTCTGCAGTCGCTCACTTTAAACCCCCCGAAATCAAACAGTGCTCAGTTGAATTAATTGCATTTACGTATAGATCGAAAAAGTATCCAGTTGCCATAGACATATATCATGATTTAATCTTCCAAAATAAACGAGGGAAACATCAACAATCAAATGATAACTTTGATCATTACGTTGTTCAACCGTTCCAGATCTATTTGGAAAAAATCACAAATCTTGCTAAAGTATGGGGATGGGAAAACTTGAACATTTCTAAGCAATTGATTCTTGATATTAAAAGCGTTTCCAATTTGCAACCAAAGTGTAACGTCACTAAGGTTGAAAATTTCAAGTTTGGAGTTGGGAAGTGGTCACAAGCGAGGGCTGAAAATAGCTCTGACGTGTTCATGAGCAAAAGCAACTTGGCGGTTGATCTTCGAAACTTAAAGGGAGAAAAGGGTGAGGATTGTTGTTTACTCCCAAGCTTCCAAAGTTGTATTATTGGAAGGTTATACTATCTAAAGGTGTCGATTCACTTACAGCATGCTGAGCCCACGATAATAAAGATTCCAATATCCATAGAAAAGAGTCCTAGTGTGTGATTGCTCCTCCAAATATATATGTAAATGTACCATACATTAGGAACCACTTTGATCGGGCAGGCTTTAGGAACAGAATATAAGTAAGATTAATTTAGTGTATACAATTCCGAATGTTCAACTCACAGAATACATAGAAATATTCATAGAAAATAGAAGAGAATAGTACCAGCTGAGCTCCAAGCTCTGTAGTAGGCGAGTTAGCCTAAGAAATCGGACTAATAATATGGCTGCGAATTTTAGTAGTGGATTAGAGTATCTTCATGGGCAGCAAATTAGTTTGTGTTTTTGGATTTGAAATCGTTTAAAATAAGTCACCGTATCCTCGCCCGACTTCAAACATTGACCCATTCACACGAGCTCACGAAGTACGTCAAGCTTTCAGACTGAACTGTTGATTCATAGGGTATACCTGACTTAGGTTAAGATAAGTACATGCAGGTCTGCTGGAGTTTAATGCGCAGTTGCGGTGTTGAGTTGATGGGGGAAACGAAGGGCTCAGTTTAGCTACAAGGTAAGAATATCGAATACACTTAATTTCAACTCTTCAAACATATCTGTATGCTCTCAGCGATAGTATTGAACTATTCGCTCTCTCTCAAAATTGAGTAGAGATTGCCCAACAGCAATCAGAATTGTATGCCCTATGACATCTAGTCTCTATCTAGTTTAGCTAATTTATGTGCAGCATCACGTTTTTCTTCCGTGCGTTGCTTTTTTGGGGCAGATGGAACATACATGGGCACTCTATGTGCAGTACCGAAGTTACCTTAAATTGTATCAGCACTTATCTGTTTCTCTTGCAATCTCTTAGTCAAGCAACTTTATCCTGACAGTTTCAACCAAGCTACATTTTTGATTAATTATTCCATATTTTCATTGCTCTTTGACAATACCGACTTGAGTAGCCGCTCGATTATCAACTTGACCCATCTTTTTTAACCAATTGACAAAGATGATTAAAGAGCCCGAAGATTTTTGTTCGGTTTACGAGGGCGCCTCCGTAGGTAACTTCATATTTCTGGTTCTTATTACTATAGGTATAGTAGGTAGTTATATACCACAGTATCTTCGTATTAACTTAAAAAGGACTTCAGAAGGTTTATCTACAAACTTCTTGCTCCTTGGGTCATGTTCCTCGTTGTTCACCTTCACCAATATTATGTTGGTCTCTTCCAGAGCTAGAGGGTGTTGTTATGCAGGACAGTTAGCTCTTTTCAACTGTATCAACTCACAGTTGAATTTGGTGCAAATTGGATTGCAATGCTTTTGTGCCATATTGATCCTTGTTCTTGTCTTGTTGCTTACTAGGTACTCCATAAAGCAAGATCGTGAGGAGTATCTCAGAATTGAGAGGGTGGGATACTGGGTATTGTTACATTTCGCTATTTCTGTACTACAAATTCTTATCGGGGTCTACAGTAAAGATAGAGGTTTACTTATTAGCATTGCCAATGTTAATGGATTGTTATCCACTATTCTAACCATGGTCAAATATGTTCCTCAAATCTATACTACGTATGTTTTGAAGCATCCAGGAACATTGTCAATTGGTATGATGTGCATTCAAACCCCTGGTGGGGCTCTCTTCACCTTGACCTTATTTTTGACGAAGGGCTCGCATTGGTCTTCGTGGATTTCCTACTTTACCGCATTTATTTTACAGGGATGTTTGTTGACGTTATGCATTTACTATGAATATTTTAGAGACCATGGATTGGCTGCAGAGTTTGCAGAGCGTAGAGAGGTGGAGAGAATTGTGGAGGAAAATGAAAGGGAAGACTCGCCGTTGGTAGGAGCAAGTGAGAGAGAATGAGCCCATTAACAAAAATCGAAAAAGATAAAATCATAAAATCATAAAATCATAAAATCTTTTGAAAAAATCTTATGACATCTATGTGAATGTACTTGGATAAGTATAATAACCAAGGGTCTATCTATAGCTACTTGATGTACTATATTCAAGTCTGACTTATTATACTAATTTCAGGCTTAGGTGAACAAACTGAACTCACATGTGTTGCAGGTCAACTTGCGGCTCACTAGCCGTCTTCTTCTTTGCCTGCTGTCTCCGTACTGCTATCATTAAATAGTCATATATATTCTTAATGAAAATTGTATCGAGTTTATTCTGGCATTGCTTGACCTCCTAGGCAAGAAGTTTCAATTATACAAGTTGCAACTTACTACTTTTAGCATTCATGGTTCCTCTTTCGCAGCCATCGATCAATTGAAAATACTGAGTTTGAGCTCAGTTTGGTCTACATGGCCCTACCGTTCTACGTCAACTTTAACACATTTTCTTTTTTTCCTTCTTCGCATGCAAATGCCTTGATACTTTCCTGAAGCAGTCAACTTCCAGACTCAGAAAATGTTTGATAAGGGTCCTTTTAAATAGCCATTCTATACTCAGTCAGTACCCATCAGCCTGCTGTATATCTTTTGTGTAACTTTTCACTACCGGCACGACACGACCATTTCGTTTTTTTTTTTTTTTTTTTTTTTTTCACTTTGGCATTTTTTCAAAAAAAATCAACGAATGATTTTCAGGCCATTCACTCTTTTAACAACATCGTCCAAACATCATGTTTAAGAAGATTGTAACATCCTTGGGACTCCAAGCTACACGCGCTCGTGCAGCTCCACGCCCATCAGCACTCTCCTCTGTTCGTTTTTACGCTGCTTTTGACCGTTCAAAGCCTCACGTTAACATTGGTACAATTGGTCATGTCGATCACGGTAAGACCACTTTAACCGCTGCTATCACCAAGGTTTTGTCAGCCAAGGGAGGAGCTTCTTTCTTAGATTACGGTTCCATTGACAGAGCCCCAGAAGAAAGAGCCAGAGGTATCACTATCTCCACCGCACACGTTGAATACGAAACCGACAAGAGACATTATGCCCACGTTGATTGTCCAGGTCACGCTGATTACATTAAGAATATGATTACAGGTGCCGCTCAAATGGACGGTGCTATTATTGTTGTTGCTGCTTCCGATGGTCAAATGCCTCAAACCAGAGAACATTTGTTATTGGCTAGACAAGTTGGTGTTCAAAACTTGGTTGTTTTCGTTAACAAGGTCGACACCATCGATGACCCAGAAATGTTGGAATTAGTCGAAATGGAAATGAGAGAATTATTGACCACCTATGGATTTGACGGTGACAACACTCCAGTTGTCATGGGATCAGCCTTATGTGCCTTGGAAGACAAGCAACCAGAAATTGGATCTGAAGCTATTATGAAGTTATTAGATGCTGTTGATGAATATATTCCAACTCCAACCAGAGACTTGGAGCAACCATTCCTTATGCCAGTTGAAGATGTCTTTTCTATTTCGGGTAGAGGTACCGTTGTCACTGGACGTGTTGAAAGAGGATCATTAAAGAAGGGTGAAGAAATCGAAATTGTCGGTGACTTCGGTAAACCATTTAAGACCACTGTTACCGGTATTGAAATGTTCAAGAAGGAATTAGACGCTGCCATGGCTGGTGATAATGCAGGTATCTTATTGAGAGGTGTCAAGAGAGATGAAATCTCCAGAGGTATGGTTTTAGCCAAGCCAGCTTCCGTCACCTCCCACAGCAAGGTTTTAGCTTCCTTATATATCTTGACCAAGGAAGAAGGTGGACGTCACTCTCCATTCGGTGAAAACTACAAGCCTCAATTATTTATTAGAACTTCCGATGTTACTGGTACTTTAAGATTCCCAGCCGGTGAAGACGTTGACCACTCCAAGATGGTCATGCCAGGTGACAATGTTGAAATGGAAATTGAATTAGTCAAGAAGACTCCAATTGAAGCCAACCAACGTTTCAATATCAGAGAAGGTGGTAAGACCGTTGGTACTGGTTTAGTCACCAGAATCATTGAGTAGACTCAGTAAGAAAAAAAAAAAAAGAGAGTAAATCACTTCTATATATATATATGTTTTTTTTTAACTTAAAGAAAGTTATGGTCGTCTGGTTTTGTATATAGTAATGCAGATGAAATAATTAAAACACTCCGAATACATCACTAGCCCGTAGCTACAACCCACTGACTCTCTGTTCCACTGATTGAAAAATTTCACCAAGTGCGCACTTGATCTCTGCATGTTTGTATTTTGGTTAGCGGACCGCGACACAAACAAATCGAGCACGGCTTGTATATATACCTATACTTATAGATTGGAGAGTTGCTAGTAGGAAGTATCAGATGTCTACGTTCCCTGCAATTGATCTACGGAATGATATCCGTCACGAGTATGCCCCCAGCGTGGGGTATTCCGTGTCGTTGTTCCCAGATCAAAAGCAATTGTTGTTGAGCAAATACGAAGTGGTGATTGTACAGGGTGCAACCGTTTCTAAAAAGCTTGTATTTGATGATCCGATAGTTTCAGCAACGTATACCACATTTAACACGAATGAAAGAGAACAGGCGCTTGCTAACTATAATGGTAATGGTGGTAATAAAGGCGGCATTGATAGCTCTAGCAGGTTAGCTCTCGTAGTGTGCTTGAGGAAATCTGCACATGTATATTACCCAGATGGTCGACAGTATATGATCAGTTTTCCGTTTTCGTTGAATAAGGCCATGCCCTTTGAGTCGGGTTTGATATTGGAAAAGGAGCAATCCCTTATACTGGATGTTAGTCACCCTCCGGCATTCAATCTGGCCAAATTCTTGACGCTTGTAGACCCCATTGGAGATTTTAGGTTGGTTTCCACATCTTCCACGACGGTGGTCTCACCCAAAGAAGAATTGATGGTATTTCCCAACAGGAAAGGCAGCCTTTCGAAATCTACATCTTGCTTATGTGCAACGTACAATAGGAACGATTCCACTGTGGTCTTATACTTTGTAAAATCTAGCATTAGAGTGAACAAGAGGAGCGCCGGGGGTCAATTGAATAGCTCAAGCATCAACCACGGCACCAACTTGTCTACTGGCGCCAATAGTAATAACAATAACGGCATTAATGTTGGCACCAGTAACGTTAACAGTGGTACCAACCATAATAATAACGGTGCAATTGCAAACAGTAACATTCACAACTATAATCACACCACTAGTAACAATAATAATGGCAGCAATGGCCAGAATAGCAGAATTCTTCACCACAGTTCTGGCAGTGGTGCCAATCACAATAACACGAGTATCAATAACAGTAACAATAATAGTAATAATAATAAGTATTTCAAAAGGAAAACTTCTGCGAGCTACTCACCGCCTGGTCATTCTCGAATATTAGAAGACGAAGAGTTTCAAAACAGCATAAACAATAATGCTGCTGGGCATATTGGTATCAACACAAACCATAGCAGCAATTCCAACAACGGTGGCTTAAATAGCCACAGCACGGCACAAGTTCTTTCGATTAATATGGAAAAGAAGCGTACAAGTACCCTACTCTCTGATATATCATCAATTGCAAGGATGGGGTCAGATACATCTACTTTCCCATCTGAGTCAATTAAGAAGGGTCAGCAGGATTCTACAGCATTGTTGAAAAAAGATCTTATATTAACTAAATTGGATACGTTTCTGTACTCAGAACCAATGACCAGAAATGATAAATTGGTACATATAATTTCATTTGAGGATCAAGAAGCCTTAGTAATCGTAAATCCATCAAAATCCCAAGCCAATATTTATATATATAGGCAACAACCAGTAAACGTATACAGATATGTACAAAGTTATACGGTGGAATGCAAATCATGTGCACCTTTGGATGATGATAATGAACACCCAGGATTTTTGGTGGTACTTCTGAATGCGTCAACTATAACTTTAGTTAATCCATTTTTAGATGTGAAATCAAATGAGATTGCCTTGTCTAAGCAATTTCCTCCTATAGTATCTATTCAGTCATCTAGTGGTAAAAGAGTTAGCATGATAGCTGAGAATCTGGGAAAGAACTATGAATTTCAATTAATTTTAGAGCCATCAGACGACTTGGTCTCTACTTGCCTTAAATGTTTCCGCTACCTATCTGGATCTAATATACGGGAATCTATATGGATAATGTGGTGCTCTGCATTGACACTAGACGATTTGAGAGACGACTGGAATGCTCTAGTAATCGTGTTATTGTCTATAATTTACCCATTCGAAACTGACATGAACTCATCATCCTTCTCTACAAACGAAATAACTAGGCTACTTCCAAAAGCAAAAATATTGCATGATACGATTCTCAAGAAACTACAATATTCCTTTACAGATCTAATTCCATTCATAGTACTTTCACTTCATTTGATTCAAGAGGAAACTAGATTGGATTCGTTGAACACGGACAGTCAACTGAAACTCCTGATGTTACTTTGTCAGCTAACTACTTGGATGGGATGGTCAGAATCTTGGACTTCATATTATATGATCGAACCTTTGAGGATAGATACAAGCGTTCAGTTCTTACTGGTTTCTATTGTTGATTCACCTCCAAATTTATTGGAATCATTGTGTAGTTTATTTGGAACTCATAAGATCAAAAGATATTTAACGTTTTCACAACTCGCTGAAGAAGATGAATCAATTGACAAAATAATAACTCCAAGAACTTATTGTATATTACGATTATTTGAGCTATTGGTATCGAGCCAATATGGCCCTAATGATTTAGTTGACATGATGTGTGAATATGGAATTGACTCTACCATGATGGAAACATATCCACCTGGTATATACTTACCATTGAAAGAAGCAATACTGGAATGTCAAGAACAACCAGCATTTGAATGGACAAGTGAAGCTTTAGAATTAGTTGGAAGAAAGGATTTGAGTTCGCTTTTAAACAGAAACTATCTATTGTCATCTTCAACGACTTCCAACCTGAGCTCTGCTGGTGCTGGAGATGTACTTCAAATCCTTAATAGCACTTTTGAAAAACCAGAAAACGTTACAGCTTGGGATGGTCAATCGGAAGCTGATAGAATAAGTATTACCAAGTTAATATTTGATTACGATAGAAGATACTTCGAAATAACCACATTACTTCATCAAACTAAAATACAGACAGCAAGCTTAGGTAAAATTGATGATGATATTGGAGAATATGACTTGGTATTGCTACAAAGAGAATTAGCCACTTTAGTCGCAATGAGAACATTATCGATACCCTTGGGAAGAGCGGCATTATTTTACAGTAGTAGAATGCCTTTAATGACAGAGAAGTTTCCAATACCTAAGTTTAATTTTAATACCCTCATCTCACCTTCTATGTCAACTATAATATTAAATAGAGACTCAATTAATGATTCCATGAGTGAATGGGGCTATTTCCACAATGGGGTTTCTTCTGGACTCAGTATACTGCCAGATTCAAAGGGAATATCGGGACTGTGGATAATTTTCAATAAGCCACCGGATTTAAATTCACAACATGCTGGGTTTTTACTAGGTTTAGGCTTAAACGGTCATTTGAAACGACTAGAAGAGTGGCATATATACAACTATTTGGGTCCTAAACATCCTTTAACTAGTGTTGGATTACTCTTAGGTATGTCCGCAAGTCTTCGAGGAACGATGGATAACAAATTGACTAAAGTTTTGTCCGTTCACGCTGTGGCCCTATTACCACAGGGAGCAAATGACTTAAATGTCCCAATTATAGTGCAGACAGCTGGTTTGATTGGAATTGGCTTGCTTTATTTGGAAAGTCAACACAGAAGAATGAGTGAAATCTTATTGCAACAAGTTTCAGGGTCTGTCTTTCAAAATGATATAGAACAGATACATGAAGGATATAGACTTGCTGCGGGAATTGCGCTTGGTTTTGTGAATTTGGGAAAGGGAAATGATTTGAAAGGCCTTAACGATACACATGTAATTGACAAATTATTGGCAATTGCTACGTCAATGAAGGACTTCCTGACATTACAAGAGTTGGATAAATCATGTTGTGGGGCAATAATTGCCTTAGGATTCATGTACTTGAAAACCAATAATAACACTTTGGCCAATAAATTGAAGGTTCCAGATAGTGAGAGGCTATTAGATTATATTAGACCTGACTTGTTACTATTGAGATGCTTATCAAAAAACATTATTAACTGGGATCAAATAAGTGACTCTATTGAATGGGTCGAGAGCGAAATCCCTCAATGTTTAATGAAAAGATATATGAGAAATAAGAAGGGAAGAAAGACACCAAAAGTTGATTTTGAGTTGGATAGTGATCAATTGGGATTTTTCAATATCCTTGGTGGTATATGCATTGCGATAGCTGTCAAGTTTGCCTCATCTCATAACATTAAAGCTCGTGACACCTTAATCTACTTTCTTGATATAATGATAGTAATTTCAAACAAAGATGCTAAAAACTATGACCAAAAGATAGCACATCACTGTGCGACGAATATTAGGAACTTGTTGGCTATATGTGTATCAATTGTAATGTGCGCAAGTGGAGATTTGGAGTCATTCAGAAGGTTGAGAATGTTGCAAGGGGATACTAGAAAGGATATGATGGGATATGGTGGGTACATGGCTATAAATATGTCATTGGGATTTTTATTTATTGGTGGAGGTCAATACGCCTTTAGTAACTCCAATTTTGCAATTGCATCTTTAATTACTTCGATATACCCGGTCTTTCCATCAAATTTGTCGTCTAATTATGGTGGATGGGAGGTTCATTTGCAGGCATTGAGACATTTCTGGGCATTGTCGATTGAACAAAGGTGCTTGATCGTTAGAGAAGTAACTACAAACAAACCAGTTAAAGTTCCAATTGAACTTTACAAGGTGAATGGCGATAAGATCACTGGAAATTCACCTTGTTTATTGCCATGTCTTAGTGATATTCTACAAATTAAGATCAACTCCACCAATCACTTTGATGTTGACATTGATTTTAGATTAAACTCAGAACACCTAGAGAAATTCAAGAAAACGTTAACAATTTACGTATACAGAAGACGTAACCATAAGATATTAAATAGTACGGTTAGCCGGTTATTGCAGAATGAGAATCAAGATCTACAAGTTGTCAATGGAGAAGTAGAAATAAATGAAGACTTGGTGAAACTCGGGAAATTAAATATCCTAGAAAAGAGCATCAACGAGTTTGAAAAGAAAGTTTTCTTGTTTGAGAGTACTAAAATTAGCAATGAGATTGACACTTCGACTTTATTATTTTCCATGTTCAATGTTATTGACAACAAAGTTGAGCTTCAGCAGTTGTGCAAGCCCAAGACAGTTCAAGACCTATGGAATTTGAAGTTGATTTTTGAGTACAGTGAGAGCTTGCTGGATGGTATGAACTACATTGGATCCAAATATATAGACAAGATGAAGAGAGAAATCGAACTGGGTATAACGGCATTATAGTATTACTAAATTTTCCCTATATTAAAGAATAAAATGAAAAGGAATATCTGGACCGGATGTGTGTAGTATAAATAAATTTCTTAAAATAGAAAAGTAACTAGATCTGGAACCATTTACCCCAGAGTTTTCACCATAAGGTTAAACCTTAAAAGTGTGATGTGAAAAATGGGGGAAGAGATGGTGATCATGTGATCAGATACTACATTTGGAAACTGGATATTTCTGCTTTAAGCAAGTGAACAGAAGCATGACATAAAGTGCACAGTGGAACAATGCACAGATTAGAGATTAAAGTTCCGAATTGAGGCTCTATAATGATCTGAGCAAGTTCATGAACAATTGGAGACCAGGACGTTAAACAAAGCTTAAGGCTTAAATTGAGTTTAGAGTAACAAGAGAAAAAGTAGACGAAAAAAAAAAAAAATAAAATAAATGAATAAAGATGTTAACCAGTAGACTAGCGTCGTTCCAGGTGATACTGTGCAAGGCATAAAAGAATTTACTATAGGGGTATCTCTGGAATTCTCAGATTAGTAAACAAACCTAACCACACACCAGTATACGTGCATCTCTTTGTTCTGGATAAGGAATTGTTGAGGTTTGATCTTCTTATCTTAGCCAAAATCACATGCGATTCCTGTCTACACCACCACACTTAAGTGGTTATGATTAAACGAGTTTTGCGAGTTTTCACACGATCGTTAGCATTTCGTACACGGTAGGAGTGAAAAATTAAAAAAAAATAAAATAAAAAAAAAAAAAGAAAAAATAATAACAAAAAAAAAAAAAGATGAAAACGGAGAAGAATAAGTATCATTGGCAAATAGGCAAGTGTCAGAGAACTATTTACGCTTTCTTAACATTAAGCTTTTACCTGGTGTTCCCCCTGCCGTGTTTTAGTGTTCGTCTTTTGCTCCCCTCCATTTCAACATATTCCATATATATAAGTCTACTAAGACATTTTCCATCATGACTGTGAGACAACCACCTCTTACCAAAATGAGACACAAGTGGAAGTACTATCCTACGTACCTGCAAGCTGGCCAGACAAGATACGACAATATCTCGCAGCCGCTTTCCAGAGCTGCAATGGTAGCTGAATTGCAAAGGGGCACTGGTGGCAGCGAAGCATCTACCAAGAACGGAACCAGCGGTATCAAGGGGATGTTCGTCAAGAAGGGTAGTGCCTTTGGATCATTGAGTCTGCTTCCTAAGATCTTTCCCAAGCCCAAGAGAAACGTATTGTTCCCACTGTGGTACTATGGAGAAGGCTCCTCCAATGCTGCTAAGAACACTAATAACAGCAATATTGGCTCTACTTCTGGGGGCTACTACGGCTACCGTCTTCGTCTTCCCACCTCGCATCTCCCTATGATAATGTCGACGCGCCATTTCTCCACAGCGAAGAACGGATTCCGTAACAAAACATCTAACTTCCATAAGAGATTCTTCCTGTCTGAAGCTAGAAAGAAGAGACAACAGCGTAGAAGATTCATCAGATGGTGGACTATCACCTCATTGACCATTGTCCTTGGAGGTGTAGCCTCTAAGATGAGGTACGAAAAGGGCGAGGCCAACGAATATGACATCAAGCCACAATCATGGCTGTTGTATGCCTATTCTATTTTACCCTTGAAGGCTATTTCCAGGCTCTGGGGTCAAGTAAACTCCATAAACCTCCCTGTTTGGCTCAGATCTCCTTCATACAGACTTTATTCCACTATTTTCGGAGTCAATTTGGAGGAAATGGATGAACCTGATCTCTCGACTTACCCTAACTTGGGTGAGTTTTTCTATAGACAATTGAGGCCAGGTGTGAGACCATTGGCAGATGGTGACTTGGTATCACCTGCTGACGGCAAGATCTTGAAGTTCGGTACCATTGAAAACGGTGAGATCGAACAAGTCAAGGGTATGACATATTCCATAGATGCCCTCTTGGGATTGAATACTACAAAGAAGAAGTTGGCGGCTCCAATTCACTCTTTAAACTTTGAGTCAGACTCAGATGATGACCTGAGCTTAAAAAGAGATGAGGAGTTTGCCAAGATCAATGGGATTACTTACACTGTCGATGATTTAGTCGGTGGAAATGAGGAAGACGAACGCATCAAGTACCATATACACGATTTAGAGTATAAAGATCACGGAGACGGTACCGCCAAAGGTTCCGAGTCTACCGTTGCCAAAGAATTGTCGGTTGCTAAGAAGGTGATGCCATCATCTTCTGACTTGTTAACCAACAAGAACAAAAATCATAAACTTTTCTTTGCAGTTATTTACTTGGCTCCAGGTGACTACCATAGGTACCATTCACCAACCAACTGGGTTACTACTTTAAGACGTCATTTCATTGGGGAGTTGTTCTCGGTAGCGCCATTTTTCCAAAAGACATTGCAAGGTTTGTTTGTCTTGAATGAAAGAGTTGCACTTTTAGGATATTGGAAATATGGGTTCTTTTCCATGATCCCCGTCGGGGCCACCAATGTTGGTAGTATTGTGGTTAATTTTGACAAGGATTTGAAAACCAACGATATCTACGAGCATGAGGTTTACAGTAGCAGTCCTAGTGTATCCAGTAGCAGCAGTGTCAGCGTCAACGAAGAAACGACTCCCTTGTTGTCACCAGCTATGACCTCAGTAGATTCGTTAAGCTCTTCCATGAAAAAGAAGTTGAAGAAGAATACTGTGTACGAAGCCACATACACTAATGCAAGTAGGCTATTGGGAGGATATCCATTGTCTAAGGGACAAGAAGTTGGAGGATTTAAGCTTGGGCTGACTGTGGTTTTGATCTTCGAAGCACCTGAGAACTTCAAGTTCAATTTGGAGAACGGCCAGAAAGTTAAAGTCGGAGAGAGCTTAGGGGAGTTTGAAAATTAGACCTATCCATATCTGAACCGCATGGGTAGAGAAGTGAATAGGGTGCATTGCATTTAGTATATATAAGCCTAGTGAAAAAAAAAAAATTGAAAAAAAAAGGAAGAAAAAAAGGAATAAAACTATACTTAATTTTTAATCTGAAGTCTCCGTAATACTCTACTGTGCAACTGAGAAGGCACACCGTTACTGAACCGTCCAAGCCCTTTGCATCGCTGAGATGTCTGGCCCGCCTAACGTGAAGAAACGCGCTTACAATAACAAGTAAATTGGTGTTCCTGCATATACACTCTTCGTAAAGTTCGTCTAGCGATCAATGCAAAAAAAATCAAATCAAAGAATCAAACTCCTGTCAGGGTAGATAGGTCAAGTACGCTCTCATATATAACAGTACCCATCGCAATGTCCTTCTTGAACACTATCAGAGGCCTTGGAAGAAGCTCCAAAAAGAACAAAAAAGATTTGGACGCTCCTGCGTCTTTGTATCTGCATGCTAACTCTTCTGGATCTACATTGAGAAGATCTCAGTCACCAACGAAATCGCCCACTAGACTGAGAAACCAGCTCAATAAACAGTCTCCCACTAGATCGAGAAACACAAATGCTGGCCAGCAGTATGACATCATAAATACAAGCCTGTTGACCAACAGCCAGCTTACTGACGGTGGAATCCACTCAGGATCTGCCTCGGTATCTGCTGGAGGTGCTGGGACAGCTTCAACCTTGACCACCCAAGCACCTGAATCTGCGGGAGCTGTGCCCACAAAGATCCCGTTGTTCCTTTGTGAACCGTTTGTAAAGACTGCCTTGGTAAAGGGTTCATTCAAGACTATAGTGCAGCTCCCCAAGTACGTGGACTACGGTGAGTGGGTAGCACTTAACATCTTCGAGCTGTTCAACAACTTGAATCAATTCTACGGTATCATTGCTGAATACGTCACGCCGGAGGACTACCCCACCATGAACGCTGGACCCAATACTAATTACCTTTGGGTGGATGGGAACGGCCAGTTGATAAACTTGCCTGCTGGCTCCTATATCGACTATGTCTTAACGTGGATCAGTAATAAGATAAATGACCAGTCCGTGTTTCCAACTAAAAGCGGTGGAGCATTTCCGCCAAACTTCTTGAAGGATTGCAAGAATATATCTAGACAAATGTTCAGAATATTCGCTCACATGTATTGGAATCATTTTGAAACTTTTGTGCATCTTTCATTGGAAGCCCATTGGAACTCCTTTTTCTGCCATTTCATAAGCTTCATCAAGGAGTTTGGACTCATAGATAGATCTGAGTTGGTACCTTTGTTACCGCTAATCGAGAATTTGGAGCAGCAGGGAAAGATTGTGTAGCACTAAGCATTCTGAATGATTATTGTGTGTTACATAAAATTCTGCTGGCACTTAAGTTTTCGATTTCTAAATTCATTAAGATTGTACAATATCTGTCATTATCATTGGGGAAGGCACTCTAGTTGAGCTGGGGTGAATATAAAAGTTTATTTTTTGGTTTATTACTGTTTTTTTTTTTTAGGCGTGAATTCGTTCATATGGAATTACTGTAGAGAATTTGTTTCCTCTACATTACTGGACTGATTCTTTTTTGTTGGTTTATTTATATCTTTTATTATATCTAAATATATACATATATACAGCTATAAGATGTCGTGAGCGTTAAAACTATGTACAATTAACTTCTTTTATCTTCCATATGCTGAGTCTTTCTGTTTCTTGTAAATGCAAATTGTGGAAATTAGAAATGAAACTTCATTCTCATTCTTTCTTTTCCTTGTTAGTTTAATGTTTTCATCTCCTATGAAAAGAAGTACTTGGACTTCTTAATCTCATCAATGTCCAATTCACCTCTGGCTGGAATATCGGGGAACTTCAATGGAACCAAAACTTGTATAGCCTTTGATGATCCACTTGGAACAGCTTCCTTTTCCAAATCTTCACCTTCTGTGACACTAATAGTTGTGATCATTTCTTGGCCCATTCTAACCTTTAAAGGATCTTGAGAATCTAATAGTGATTGTCTACTTCTTTCCAAGTATATTTCGTCTGCAACAGTAACTGCCCTACCAATACTCTCGCTCAATTCCTTACGGACTTGTTTGATCCTTGCCCCAACTGGATGTTCTCCAGAAATATGAATCACCTGTAAGTAACCTTTGTATCTTCTTTCGAATTCGTTTCTAATCTTAGAAATCAAGTTGTCTTCATGCAACTTAATAAATTGGTTCCTACAATGTTCATTCATCAAGTCAATATCACAGGCATGTGTCCAATATGAATCGTGGACTGATGCAAAGGCAATGCCACTTTCCCCAGCTGCTCTAGAAGTTAACAACATATGAGTAGCATCCAAGGAATGAACAAAATTCGGAGGAAATGCTGTTTGTTGTTTTCTAGCATCAACCGGTGCAGCTCCAAATGGGTCAGTGATGACTATGTCTTGTAAATTCGTAGCAATTACTTGCTTCTTGATACTACGGTAAGGTTGGACACAAGGTAATCCTAATGGAGTGGTCCAAATGACAGATGATAAGTAATCAGGTTTTTTGTTACCGTTCTTGCCTTTGGGCAAATGTTGACCTTCACCTTCATAATCAATTCTAATAGATCTCGATATTCTCTTAGCACATACTCCTAGCCAATCTTGAATCTGATGAGCACCTTCGAATAATTCTCTCATTGAGGAAAACACCAAGCGAGCCAAGTATTTAGATACTTGACTGGGTAAGCCAATCAGTCTTTGTTCATTAGTGAAATATTGATCAATTTGCTTTTCTATTTGAGCAACTCCTCCTACAAATGTCACCCCATAAACATTGGTCATAACTGTTTGTTTGACAACCTTTCTCGTGAGTTTATCTTTCATGAATATAGCAAATTGTTCACCATTGGCAGCATCTATATCGATTCTTTTTTGCACTAAGTTAGCAACAAATTTGTAAACATCTTGTGGTCTATCAGCCGGTAATAGATTCACTTGTCTGGCACCTTCGACATCGCCCCCTAATGCTGCATAATGTTGCAACCCATTACATGTACCATCTTGATGGACAGGAATGTGACTGATGTACTTTGTTGGATCTTCTAATTTATGTGCTTCTGCTAATTCAAAGCACACAGAAAGTGCCTGCCAAGGTTTTTCAGCTTTAAGCCACCAACCGTTATTTTCTCCTGTCAATGAGTCAACACTTAAAGGATTACGAGCCAGTTCTAACACCTTGTCCATATTGTCATTTGTAAATTGTAATCTTTCGGTTAATGGAGCCTTATCCAATCCTGAAAGATTAGCCAAATGAATCTTGAGCCAATCCAATCCAGTAGTACCTAATTCCTTACCTTCCCAGAATAAAAACAAAGATCTAGTCATATCTCCACCTAAATGATTGAAATGTGGTGATAATGGATATGCTCTACCTCTAAAATCAACATTATGGGGGAAATAGAGCTTCTCGCCGATAAATGCTCTTGCAATTTCTAATTTATAGTTAGAATCACATCTCTGAGATCTGGCACTGGCAGCATCGTTCAATGCCTTTCTGACTACTCTTTGATAGTTTCTTTTAACCGATGGGTCTGCATTCTTAGGAGGAGCTTCTTTGGGTAACACTGGGTCATTTCCAGCTTCAGGTATATCTAAGAATTTTTCACCAGTGTTCCATTTTTGACTTATAACATCAAAAATCTTTCTGTTCACAGTCCACGCAGTTTCACCTAAGACATTCAACCCTTCGTAAACTTCATCTAGATGGCCCTTCTCCAGCGATGCCTTCAAGTAAGCAATAGTCTCTGGAGAGTCCTTGATTCTAACTAAGTATGAAGAAGAGTACAAGTAACCACCATCATTATAGCTTGTCCATGGTCGAGGTTTAACAAGCATTGGTAATAATTGTGGCTGAACGGTTGCATTTGCCTTTTCTCCAGCCAATTTCTTTAACAATTCCTTGTGGATCTTCAAAACTCCTAATTTTTGACCGTTAATATACTGGAAAGTGTGATGTAAAGCAGGTTGATATCCGACAATTTCCTCGCCTGTGGAGGGATCTGTAGTTTTGACTGGAACAACAGCAACATGTAATAAGAGTCTCGTTAATAATTCTCCGGTTTTAGCATATACAGGGCCTGTCCATTCTCCGGAAGAATTAGGAGCGGTATTACTTTCCAATACTGGATTCCTAATATCTCTTCTTTTTTGGATATACTGTCTCAATTCACTTATGTTCTTGGTGTTAACCTTTCTATTTAATGACTTTCCTTCAATCTCCAACAACTTTTGAGACTTATATTCCAATTCAATGGCTCTACCTACGGATACAACAGCTCTAGCTGTTCTCATACCATCCACAACACCTCCAGTTGAGTTCAATTTCAAAATTTCAAGTATGGTGATAGCACACAACTTCTCTGGTGGAACCAAAGTTAAGTATGGAGCATAAAATAAACGATCTTTTAACAAATCTCTCTCTGGGCCCATCTTGTGCTTGTTTATGATATTCGGTTCGTCCAACAAAATCTTACATTCAGCCACTTCTTGCTTAACTAAGGGTAACATTTTTGAGTACCAGTCGAATAACTGAACATTCAAAGACTTGTGGACCAGGAACGTTCCTCTTTCCTTCATAGACTCGTATTCATTCTTCCATTTATCCTTGGCTGCATCCAATCCCTTGAGCTCCAATTGCTTTTGTCTTTCTTCGTTGAATATATTCAAAACGTTATTAAACTCCTCCTTTTGCTCAGGTGTTTTCAATGATTTATAGATTTCGAAATAATCACGCTTATTATGGCTAGCATCCGATGAAAGGATGTTCGTCTCTGCATCAGTCTCAAGGTTTTCAATGAAATCTTGAAGTACAGTGGAATCCGAGTTTAAGCCTAGAAGTGACTGTCTGATGACTTTAAGGCCAAAAGAATCAACAGATATTAATTCTTCGACATCCTTTTCAAGGATATCTGGATTTCCCGTTGCAGATGGAGAAGATTCAGTGGATGTAGACAAAGTCTGGTTATTGGTTGGGACGTCTGTGGGCGATAATGTAGGATCTCTTTGTTCTACGTCAAGACCTTCAAATACACTTAACAAATCATCTTCAGCTTCAGATGCACCAGCGTTCTGTGCAACATCGTCATCCATCAGATGAGAATCTAAGTCGGCCTGCTTGTGGAGCTGGCGCTGAAGGTGCTCTTCGTCTTTCCTGCGCATCTCCTGGATTTCTTCAAAGTTTCCTACCAATGCCTTAGGAACCCATTCTATTCTCATTTCTGGGTCTGAAAGGAGTTCACTGATCTTGTCATCCCCCAAAACATCGATATGGGTAAGGATTTTCTTGGTCATCCAGCTAGAATTCAGTGTCCCTAATCTCTTGATAACATGCATACTATCGGACAGCTTCCTGACCAATATGGCCCAAGTCCGTGAATCTGGAGTAACTCCGTGAAACTTCTCTGGTATTTGTTCTATAAAATGTGCAATTTCCATTTCATTCACGGAATCTTCTAATGCAAATGCTTCTAAGTATTTGTTTACTTGGTATATTAAATTTTGACTTTCAGACAACAAAGGTTGTATCGCCTTCAAGATATTTTCAGCTCTGACGAAGTTCTTATTGCTCACCAATGCATCTAGGAGGATTTCCAAGTGGCCCACATCTCTAGCATATGGAGATCTTGTCACAGAGTCATAGCTGGAATTCCATGTTTCGTCCTTGACACTGTCCCTTGGAACGCTTCTCATTAAGTCATCGGCAGATATGTCATTGAATGATTTGGAGTACACCGAAGGTGAGTCGGCCCCGGACGTCAGATTTTTGTCTACGTATGAGTCTTTTCTTTTCAAATCAGCGAGCAACCCATCGTAATATTTGTTGATTTTGCTGCTGTTGCTTATAGATATAACACCAGCTGATGATGAGCTTAGTCTCGATATGTACAATCTACCCTGTGTGAGTTTTGCTCCTATTGAGGAGGTTCTCATTGAAATTCCTCTTCTCAACATGACGACAAGGTGACTATGAAAGTATATATACAAGAAAAGTCCAAGAAGAAAAGGGGAAAGTTAAATAAGATGGGGTACAATCGTGCTGTTGTGGAGTGATCGTGTGGTCTGTTAGAGGATGAGATGAAAAATTGACTGTGCTACAAAAAAAAAAAAAAAAAAAAAAAAAAAAAAAGAGGAAGGGAAGGAAAAAACCAGTTCGCTTGAGCAGTGCTACGAACCAGCTGGAGAGCTAGGAAGAGCTCTGGCTATGGAACGGTTGGCACGAAGTGCAAACAAAAGCTATATGAAAACCCTTGGGGAAGGATATAGGAATTAGAAGACCAAAATGGAAATAGAGCGCTCCAAAGATGAAAACGTAGTATCAAAAAAGAAGAAAAAAGTAGAAATATAAGAGGGTGACTGGTTTATAGTGTTCTAGATTGGGTGCAAAATAGTGACAGGCTGAATGTCAGCCACTAGGCATCACAGGCTACCACTATCACTCTCACTATCACTCTCACTATCACTGTCACTCTCACTATCACTCTCACTATCACTCTCACTCTCACTCTCACTCTCACTCTCACTCTCACTGTCACTCTCACTCTCACTCTCACTCGTAGGACGCTCTTGCTCTCCACGTATCTTCTCTTCTTTTTCTACAGTTGCCTGCTTTCTTATGTTTATTAAAAGTATCCAAGCCAAATAATAATATTGTATGTATAAATTCCTCTTCGTAGCTCATTCCAAGGCTCTTCTCACCCTCTCTTTATTATAGCCCCATTTCAGCTTGCAATGCCCTTAAAGCTTCCTCGTCCTCGTCTTCCTCGACTTCTGTAGGCTTGGTCTTGCTGACCATTGGGAAGTCTGGTAATTCTTGACGTACGGGTTGTGCTGGCTGAGAAGGTGCCTTAACCTTCTGTGCCTTCTCTTCATTAGCTTCTTCTTGTAAGGCAGCCAATTCTTCGTCCAACTCATCTTCGTCGATGTACTCGCCTCCCACTGGTCTGGATATGGCTTCACTGATTTCGTCAGCTAATTCAACTTGCTCTCTTATGTCATCCATCGTGCTTTCAACCTTATCGACATCGTACTCGCCGTGGATTTGTTTCATGGCCAGAGCACCTTGCTTCATTGCCTTCATGGTTTCTAAGTTCAAGTTGGCACCTTCAATCGCAGTCAACTGGGTCTCTAACGAGTCGACTTGATTCTCTATCTTCATCAAGTTGCTTTCATATGCCTTCTTTCTCTTTAAAGCATTCTTGGCTAGCGCCTTGTTAGTCAGAATGTGCTTACGAGCCAAGGCATCTTGGTCAGCGATTTGGCCCTCCAAATGTGATCTCTTCTTATTGAGCATCTGAATGTGTTCTCTCAACTCCACGATAGCCTTCTTGGGCAACTCCTTCTTTTGGGCCTTATTCCCTCCAAACATATAATTCCACATACTGGTCGAAAAAATAATTGACTAAATATACGTGCTAAACTTGAAGTTGTCAAAATTAAATTAGATTATTTACTACCTATTACTATTGTAGTCTCTTCACGGTTAGGGAGTCTCGCACTTACTGGAATTGTGTCTCGCTCTTCCAACTGGTTCTTTGTTGTTAGCAGTTTCAGTTTTCAGGAACTGTTCTAGGTGGTACTAAATACGTGGGCGACGGTGCTTCGGTCGGTCTTTGTCTACTGAAAGAATGGTTGGCGGCCTCGTCCTTGTCCCATCGTGACTACTTTGCCGCTCTCTGATAATGGTGATAACAATCGGTAGCGGTGGTTTTGGTGGAGACACGCTATCCCACAGAAAATGATGAGCCAGAGAAAAAAAGAAATCCCTAAAATATATCCTTATGGCGTACTGCATGTAGCGCGAGACATGAACGCTTAGGGAAGTGTTGCATTATGGTGCACGGTTGATTAGTCTGTCCATGTATTACGCTATCTATAAACTTTTGTACTTATACTGGGAGATCCAGTTCATTCTGGGTGGCGAAAGTTAGTGCACACACTTCTGAATACCAAAATATGATATGATACACATCTGGATTGTGTATTGGGGGACCCATAGAGTGCTCACTGTGTGTCTGTACTTGGGTGGCAGTTTACTAAAGGGCTCTGCCGCTCTGCAGTTCTGCCGTCCTTCTGATGGGTGGAGAATGATTTCTTCTTTCAGCTCTGCCTCCTGTAATCTAGCTAGCTAGCTGGCTAACCAACAGACTAACTAACTAACTAACTAACTAATACCCACAACAAAAAGAACACGATCAACACCCCAAATATCTTTAAGAACAACATTCGATTACTCGATATGTGGTTGTAGTACTTCAAGAGCTCTCTTTGTGCACCCGATATGTTCAAATTTATATCCTCCACATTCAGGTCAATTCTTTGAATAACCTCACCTTGCTCGCTGACCATGGTGGCCAACTGCTGGAACAAGTTCCCCACCTCATTAATTGTGGATTCGATGGTTTCCACAGCACGGTTTCTTTCCTGGAGATACTGGTTCCCGTTTTGCTCTTCCATAAGCAAAAGTTGTCTAGTTTGGTCAGGAATGGAAAGAAACTCGTCTCCGTAAGGGTTGCCTCCTGTAGCACTGCCATTCTGGTCCATGGCAGGATTGTAGTTAGACCCTGACAGCAGCGCTGCGAGAGCATATGGATTCTCACCCAACGATAAGTTACTCTGGGGTGATTGTGATCTGTTTGTGGATGCTGCTGCTGCAGACAAAAACTGCTGCGTTCTATTTTTGTTCACCAACTCATTCTTCTGTCTAATCTCCAACACGTTCTTAAACTCTCCGGATATGTTTTTCATCTTCGAGTTGAGCAAATTCAACACATTCTTCGAGTACTGGTTAATTTGCGAGTCGACTTGGATGGTGTGGTCCCCCTTTGTATATTTTTGCAAGTTCTTTATGTTTTCCTCGATTTTGAAGATATCTTGCTTGATAACATAGGTAAGCTCACCTATTTCAATGGGCTTATCATCAAATAGAGGCTTCCTTTTCGCCAAAAGGGCCAATTTGGAAAGTAAGTCTGTCGTGTGGGCTATATCCTTGGCGATTATACCAGCCTGGATGGAAAATTGGGATTTTTGTGATGCAGTTTGAGGTTGGAGTGCTTGCTGTTGCTTGCCCTTATTCAATTTTTGAAACGAGGAAACACATTGCTGAAATTCAAATGTTCGGTTCTGAATCGACGTCATATGGCCGCTCTATGATAATGTTAGGTTTCTGGGAGAGTGTATAAGCTTACTTTCTGCTTCACTGCTGGAAAGAAACACCGGTATTGATAAGAGAACCACTTCTGTTGAAAATGTACACGATTCACGAAAACAAGAGCAAAAAGAAAAAAATGTTTCAAAAAAAAAAAAAAAAAAAAAAAATAAAAAAAAATAAAAAAAAAAAGAAAAAGAATACACGTGACAGCGCAGTAGGGGGGAGGAATGCTCAACCCTGGTTGTTTGTGGTGGGGT